TTTCTATAGGTAAATGCAGAGCTGGTCACTCACTCTTGGTCAGCTAATTCTTCTCGCAATCAGAGGCACCACCTCGCTCAACAAAAAATGGTGTACAATGCACTAAAAATGAAATATCTCCACTTTTTGTTAACATTTGTTAGTTATTATCAAGTTATTAATCAATTAACACTATATTATTGCTAACTCTGTTTTTCTACTGTATTCTCTAAAAGCTGTCAATCACCCACATTCACAAATAATACAATTTATATTAACTTATGCAAAGATTGATTATATTTAAAGAAGTTTAGATTGTGATATGTTATGGCATTATTGGTATAAAATATCAAGGATGAAATAAGAGAGAGTGAGTGAGTGACACATACTTGTTAAAAAAAATAATACAAAAAATAAAAATTTTAATAATGGAAGAACAATACATTCAGTACTATAACAAATTTTGGAACGATAATTTATCCAAGGCATGAAACACCATATAGCTTTAGTTCAATTACCAATACTGTACTACTTTATGCTCTTTTCTTTTAGTAATAACCGATTTCAAGAAAGTTCTTCTATTTCATCCAGGTTGATATAGCACATGCTTATATTCAGTTTGTTCATGCTTATGTAAGTACAATATATATTTATGTATGTATTTCTAAAAGTATGTATAAATGCATGAATAATGCATCTATGGATGCATGTAAACAAATGAGTGGGAATGTATATAAGCACAAGTACACTCAAAGCACTGAAAGAACAACATGTGTGCATCAGGTACAATGCAACACATGAAAGACATTCCACCTTATGTGAGACTGGCCTGAACTAATCTCAAGTTAATTTTAGCCATACTGAACTTATCTACAATAAAGGTCAAATAAAGTGATTGTTATGCACCACCAACTATTGTACTAATCTAAAGTAACAACAAAATAAGCATGAGTGTGATACACCAACAACTAACTTTCCTCTTTAAAGCAATCATTTTTTATTGCCTGTCTGCATTTCTTACTTCAAAATCTACAAAAACAAATATTATACTTGAAATTCATATAATCTAAAAATGTATTCAAAGATCTCCAATAAATGTCTATTCCAAAGAAGCAAAACACGAACTACATTTTTCCATTTACACAATGTGGCACCTCATTGTGTACTAAGGGAGATAAGCAAAATTTCCTCCTATCCTACCAATCTCCTAATTATCCAAACTCATACTTGTCTTTTTGCTTTTACAGTATTTCTATGATCTGCTCCACCTGATTCATTGCTCAGTCTCCCCTAAAAATTAGGAATTGCCGCTGAAATCCTGTTTTATCGCTCTGTCTGGACTAGGCAACTTGTGCAAACAGACCATCAAAACCCAGGGTTCATAGCACCCTAACTATTGACTGGAATTAATTCCTTCATACCTGGGTACTGTTGAATACAACTCACCACTGAAGGATAAAGGTTTTGAACAACAAAGTTTCATTTCTGGGTCAATTTCTTTTAGTTTCAATTGACCTCAGCAACCCCCAGAGAGAAGGGAATACCTAAGTTGCATGAACGAGGCTCATCAATGAAATGAGATTCATAATTTAATTTATTATAGCCTGATGTCTGGCTCCAAAGGCAACTTAATGAAGAGCATCATATCAAAAGGACGAGTGGACGAAAAGGAACTAACCTTACAAACTCCACATGGCTATACACTCCTGAAGAATAACTTGTTCATCCAGGAATTGGCTTATAAAGGTTTGAGCTGATGACCTCAACAAAGCCATCTTCAATTCCCCCAAAACAAAATTTAATAAAGAATCCAGGAACCCCCAGAGGCTATCTTACTTCCATGCTCCCTAAGGAAACATTTAAAGAAGAAAGATTTCAAATTATTGCTAAACAGCAGGGAAAGGAAGCTGAGATATGCATTATGGAGTTAGGCATAGTGTTGGGTTGTGAAGGTCCTGCATAATAATTCACCAATCACTGTCAAATGGAGTCGCTAAGCAAATGGCAACACACTTGCTTGAGAATGCAATCATGAACAATAAAACTTCACGCAGGAGTAAAGGTAAGCACAGAGTATCTGCTCTCTATTCTTGGGTGAACAGAACTGATGGTTGGCCCAGAAATGATGCTTTGCAGCAGAGTCAAAAGAGGATCAGGAAGCACAGAGAGAAGTGACAAAGATTGACGCCCATATTATTAAACAACATCTTCCCTTGAAGAGGATCATCATGTCGAAAACCGTATTTTTAAATGCGAAGGACCTTTTACTGCAGCACACGGAGTGTAGTGGCGGAAAAACGAACTAATATTACTGAAATTTGAAGAGGTAGCTAGTAGCTGCTTTTCGTCACCCTCTTCATATTTATTTTGTTAGTTTTATTGAATATTTAAGTCAATATGATTAATGTACAGTCTCGTTCAAGATTCTTCGAACACTGCTAGAGACAGCTGACAACTCAAGGCAGTTTGTTTACTATACAGTAGTACGTAGTAAAAATTATGAATGAATGTAAAAGTGATCTGTGATTGGTTACCGAGTTCCCCGTTGCTTAATTAATGGTCGGGCTTTGTTATTTTGTATTATATTATACTACGTACTATAGTAAACAAATGGCCTTGAGTGTGCCAGCTGTCTCCAGCAGTATTCCAAGAATCTTGAACGAGACTGTAAAAAGAAACACATATTGGAAATTTCATAAATCTATTTTTTTTTTTACATTATTGGTTTTATGGCCCATATTATGACATTTGCAAAAGCTGTCCTTCTTGTCATAGCCAAATGCAAGCTGCTGGAGTTATCTCATCTTGCAAATGTTGGTACTAATCAGATAAGCACATTTAAGGTAATTCATTAAAAAAAAAATGCAGTTTTATAAGCGAGTTACTGTCTGGAAAATATAAACTGGCAAGATTCTTGCCTAGAAATATTAAAATGGATAGAGGCAAATTTCACTGGGAGAAAATCGTCACAAAACTTTTTGCGGCATATATTAATAAAGTAAGTACATTTAAGTTACTGAATGCAACTTTTTAGCAGTTTTTTAATTGAGTTTCTGTCTGGGAGCCAAATGAGAAGTCTCTACCTCCCATATAACCGAATTAAGTTAGTTGTCTCAGAGATTGTAGTCATCTGCACCCTCTTTAATGTAACCTACTTCACAACAAAATAATTACTTTTAACTTACTTTATTTTAATGAGTTCCCAAATCTTCTTTAATTGTTCTTCTGATCGCTGAGGCCCATATCCCTCAGCAATGAAACTTGTTGCTATTCTCAACCATGCTTGCTTCTTTAAAGAAACAAGCTTTCCACAAGTATTTTGATTTTGTAAAATCTTTTCCTCCTCAATCTAATGGACTAATAAATCGCATTATCTCTGCAATATAGGACTTGCCCTTGATGATTGGGAGGAAAAAAATGTCCATGATGAAAGCGCAGTACAATACTCTTAATTTTAATGCCAACGAAGGTAAACAAAAACACACCAGCAAGACGACCCATAATACATCAGCGAAAAGATGACCCATAATGCACCAGCGGCGTGGACAGTATTACCAGACCTACCCTACTTGGTCCCACACGAAGGGGAAGAGGTTCGACCTATTAAAAATACCGCTTGAAAGAACAATCCCTTCAAGAAGACTCTTCGTCAGAGAGGGAAGATGTTGTTTAATAATACGGGCGTGAGACACTTCAGTGGTAACTTTTGTATCCTTCACTTCACTTTTTTAAAGACCCAAGTAAGATGGGAAGGTATAACTTAATTAGGTTAGTTCCAGTCACTAGTTAGGTCCTGGGAACTCCGAGCTCTAAATTTAAAGTTGTCTGATTATACATGTGCCACCTGAGCCAAACATCAGACTATAAATTTCATCTTTCACTTTGGTATTTGTATACTATTCTATAATTAATGAATTGTGATTTATTTTGTCTGTATGTCTATAAAAATAACCAGATTATTACATCTCTGAATTACAATCACACCATTTCCATTTAAACCATTTACATCTGCTGCCATTTGTCTTTTTGTCAGGTGCTGAAGTCTATCAAAATCTCATAAATCAAGGAAAATCCTTTTTGTTAACATGGAGTCCACCTAAAAATTTCTAAACATTAACTTCCACACAAGAAATCATTATATAGTCCGTGACCCAGCATATAATTGCGTCATTTCCCAAAACCCAAAGCTAGCAATATTAATAATTATGACACAAACCATGCACAGCAATAACCAACACATATAGGAACAGTTTTCTTGCCTGGGCGAGGTAGTGACACCCACAGCAATAATGGTATTACAATTGATTAGCTAATTTAAGCCTAATGGAAAATGACCAGCTCAGCACATAGTGCATCAATGTAATTTTGGCCAATATCAAGTTTTCATTTCAGTTACTGAATTTTGATTTGTCCAGCATGGAACTGTGTTTATTTCCTAATTAAAACAATTATAAATAGTATTTGTGCTTTAGACTTGGGTAATATACAAAGTTTTAAGTCTATGAACCTGATACTGAAGGCACAATAAAATAAGTTGAACACTGCAGTGGGTCAGTAACTACTCTTCAGCTTAAGTAATTCAAGTGCACGCATATCTAACAAACTGACAATTGAACACTTCTCAAAGATAGCACACATCAGGATACCTCTGTAATATTACAATGAAGTAAAAATTATGATAAGAAAGTGAAAATGTGATTGTTTTACAAAACCAAGTAGAGTAATCGAAGTAATTCAGTAACATTACAAATAGGTACACATATTGTCCCATATCATTAAGCATTTACATTATACTCCAGAATATTATTGAACATTTTCACTTTCCTAAACCCCCTGGTTCCCTTTGCATAACATTTCTTTTAATCATCAAGCATTACATCTACAACAGTTATTATTCAAAACTTATACACTAAACCTTACCATTTTCTTCCTTTACATTATATATGCAATATGATATTCCTACTACAACCTGTTTTAACTACTTTCCTCAAACCCACAAAATTGCATATCATCAGACTCACCATAGCTCTGCAGATGTGGCGGTACCTTTGGTGGTCGTGACCCATCCTCTGCCTTCATAGTGGGGGGTTCTTTACGGTCAATTAAGAAGTATGTAGTCATTTCTCCTTTACCTTTGACTTTGACTTTTCCACGACATTGAAACTGATAAGGCCTGTTCTTCAGAACCTGGTAGACCTCCTCTGTTACCTAGGAAATATTAAAGAAATTTCAGTCACAAAGAGAAAATTTTCTTCAACACAATTTCCAAAGACCTAAAAGCTTTGTTAACTAGAAATTCTCTTAATCACCAAAACTTACAGCAGTGAAAATTATATAGTACTGTATCATCTAATTACAGTGATATGAAGACAATGTATAATCTAATAACAGTACTGTAACATATAACTTTATCTAGTAAATTATAGCTACACAACAGTGTGACATTACCACATTCTGTTTTATCATTTATTTTTAAAAAATATTACATTGTGGGAAGCAAAGGTGAAAAAATACATTAAGAGAATAGGATAACCATATTAGAAACAGAATAGGAGATAGGGTGTCTTGAAGGCTCCTCTGTCATGACTATCCCCTTAGATGTGAGCTACATGAAGAAGTGAAGTGATATATTTAAAAAAATTAAATGAAAATAAATAAATTACAGAGAAGGAAGGACAACAAAATATCAGAAAAGAAATCCAAACAATAAATAAAAGTCAGGAACGTTAGCAAATTCTTAAGAGCTTTTTGAATGATATTGAAAGACTGAACTTGAAACTGTCTAGGGAAATGATGCCACATAAATGAAGAGATAAAGAGTGCAGACCTACAACGGCCTTTCCCAGAAGGGATTTTGTCTTATAAGAATTAGAAGGATCTAACTCCTGAAAACTTGATGGAGGAATTAATCCATAAGGGGACTGTAGGCAAGGCTGAAAAACAGACTGTTAATGCATTATAAAAATCATAGAAAATGGAAATTAGCCCAAAGACATAAACATCTGCATCAACTACTGAGGTTAGGAAAAAAAACAAAACGAGAGAGAGAGAGCACACACACATAATCAATATTAGTACACACATTGATTTCCAGTGGGCTCCCTTGCCTCAAATCTGTGAAAGCCTAAAGACAAGAAGCGAGTTACTGTATTATTAAGTTAACATAACTAGTTTTCTTTATTTTTTATGAACACCTTGTAAGGTTAATAACACTCATAAGATCGAATAAAAATTTGTGTACTGTGAGTAGAAAACACTGTACTGTAAGTGAAAGAAAAATGTGGGTAAGTACTGTACCTGAGTATGGTTTGGGAGACCAGTGGAGTCCATTCGACTAGCAACATTAACAGTGTTACCCCATATATCATACTGGGGTTTTCTTGCACCAATGACTCCAGCCACAACTGGACCTATGTTCATGCCTGAAATAGGTATTTAATTATATTCACCAAACTGTACTTTGATTGAAACTAATTTTATTTTGAGATGGTAACAAGGGTAAGAATTAATAGCAACATGCACAATGATGCAGTAATAATTCAGTGTTTATTAACCTTTTACATCGTAACTGTGTATGGACGTCTGTCTTTGTCCAACTCAGACAATTTATATACAAGTATATATCATATTATGAAACTTACTTTTCCTTCCCTGGTTTGATTCAATGAGTTTCCAATTACCATATATAACCACCATATATCACATCAGTCACCCCCAGAGCCTCACCGTCACTGCTACACTAACTGTATGGGTTCACTATTCCACAATCTATTTTTTTAATTGACATTTTTCAATATTTTGGGATAGAAAAAATATATTCTTCATAATCTAGCAAATAGAGGGAAAATATATCTTTAAGTACCAAGCACAGAGAAAACAAGTTCTTCAAACTGTTTGCATACAAAGATAAAAATTATATTCTTTGACTATGTCCAAAGTATTTATTCTTCAAGTTTTGTTTTTATATCTATTGCATTATTTCAGCCAAGGTAACAACACAATTAAAATAGTATAATCAATGCCAGCCCCAACTCACCGACTCTTAACGTAAAACTGTTGTAAGAGTTTTCGTTGATGTTCGAAAGTTTTTCTCTGAATGCAAACACAAGTTCTGTGAGCACTGACATATAGTGACCGGCAGATTCTTCTTTATGATCTAATATCCTCATGTCTGGCATGAGTCCCACCGCTGCCATGAATGTCGATCCAACTGTTTTGATTTTATCCACAGACTTAAATCTCTCATCGTCCAACAGCTACAAAATAACCAGAGTTAGTTTGGCATATTGAAGTAGTTATGACACACATTATCTTAATGAATAAAACATGGGTATGGAAAAACAGCTAAACTTACAGTACAGTATACTGAAAGAATGTAAAGTTTATTTTTCATGATACTGTACAACAACAAATTTCCCGCCAATAAATCATTAACAACTCGATGGTGAATCAGTACAGTCCTCAAAACTTACCTCATCAAAGTCAGCAATTATTTCATTAAGGAGTCTTAGACACTCTGTGCCCTGATTATTTACAGCCAACTCCATATAAAACTCGTGAAAGTTTGGGATGGAAGCGAACACAACACCCACACGACTATAACTCTGATGGTAGAGATCCTGTAAATTGAAGGAATAATTGTAACCTCATAAAAAAAAATAATAATTATAGTCACACCTCTAGTATAAGAAATATTGTGTGATTATACGAACTATAACTGCTCACAGAATTCTCAACAATGCTCTTTGACATTCGACTGTGACTATCACCTTGGCTATCATGACTATAACCTAGGCCACTATATATATCATCTTATTCCCTTAATCTCTATTTTACACAATAGAACTAACTTTCCATCCTACCAGCCTCTGAATTATCTGTGAGTTATATAAAGGGCTACAGAAGTCTCAAAGAAAGATGGGGGTGGGGAGGTATAACTAGAGGAGTGATGCAAGACAGGTGTAGAAAATGTCAGGAAAGGGCAAAAACAAGATGGCAGCAGACCAGACCAACGCTTCATCCAAAATATTTTATGTTACAGATAGTTGTGCAGAAACCTAAAACAACTTACCATATTGTTTCTGAACTGATTATCCAGGAAATGGGTGGCAACATGGGCTGGAAGCAAATTAAACAGGATTCGGCGGTTGCTTTCCTGTAATGCATCCATTTCTTGTTTTTCTTCTGAAGCCTGCAAGTAAAGAAGATTTTTCCTATTGTAAATACAGTTATCTTATTACCTCTGCACAGGTATATGGGGTATAAAAATTCTTAGACACTGCAATAAGGCTATATGATTTTTATGCAGGGATTTAAAGGAGGAAGATAGAGAGAAAAATAGATAAGGGAGCAGATAAGGGATAATGATAAACATAAGGAAAAGTACTGGGTGATGGCAGCACAGGCAGGATGTATATGGATATAATACACCTAGTGATGAGAATACCACTAAAATTAAATCTAAACATAATAAACAAGTGTCCAACTATGAGTGGCAATGAAGATAATTATAACAGTGTGAGAGGAATGATTTATTTTCTGTCATTATACAAATATGTAATCACAGTTATTGTCAGGGCTGTGGAGTCGGAGGAAATTTCGGCTTGTGGAGTCGGAGTCGGTAAAATTGTCCAGACTCCGACTGAAGCTATTCTGTTCCTAAGAACAAATATATGAACTCAGGCATATTCATTGCAGTGATTCCACTGATCCCACTAATTTTCTTAAATTATTAAAAGAATTTATTTCCATTTTATAAGCATTATTATGAAATTATTGTAGCAGGCACAGTATAGCACTATAATTTTGGACGATAGTCTCTTCTTTACCATTTGAAATTTTGAATTATATCAAATTTTGTTTCGTTGAAAACTGCACAGAGGCTCTCAGCTTCAAAACAATTAGCTACAACCTGTTTTTGGTGAGATTAAGGCAAATTTAATTTAATAACTTAATCATGTAAGGTTTATCCATTTTCCTTAATAAGGTATTCATTTCTTTAATGTACATAAATATATAACTTTACTTTAAAAGGAATTGTAGGATCATCATTTAGATCCACATCAGATTATGAGCTTAAACAAAATTCATATGCTGAGATCAAACTTTTAGATATACATGTAAATGGTGTTTTCTAGTTAATATCTTGAATTCTTAATAAATTTATTTTTCTTTTGATTGAAACTTTGAAAGTCAAGCCTATCATCTTTTTGTAGTTCTTAAATATCGTCCAGATCATTAATAAAGCTGTAGCAGTATAGCCACGGTGTTTTACTTTTTACCTATGCAGGTTACAACATACAAATTACAATTAGGATGGTAGAAATAGTTGTTACAAATAGGCCAAGGAGTCGGAGTCGGAGTCGGAAGCATAAAAATTTGAGGAGTCGGAGTCGAAGGTTTTGTCTTCGACTCCACAGCCCTGGTACCTATACTGAAATTTTGAACAAAATCCATTTTTTGGCCGAAAATGACAAAAATTGTAAGTCTAAAGCCTTAAAGGATTTTTGGCCAAAAATACGTTTTCTCTCTGAACTAAAATTTAATGTGCCTAACTATTTAAGTACATCCAGAATAATACACAAGCACCAAGAAATGACCTCGAAAACCCATAAGTGGCGAGTAATTAGCATTGCAAAAGTAATTAAAATATTCTAAAAATCATTTGAACATTTTCTAAAAGCCATTTGAACAAGTTATAATCAAGATATCAAATTTTGGTTAACAGATCCTTAAGCAGCACATTCAGGAGTACCTATCAGGGCTGTGGAGTCGGAGTCGGAGTCGAGGAGTCGGAGGAAATTTCGGCTTGTGGAGTCGGAGTCGGTAAAATTGTCCAGACTCCGACTCCGACTGAAGCTATTCTGTTCCTAAGAACAAATATATGAACTCAGGCATATTCATTGCAGTGATTCCACTGATCCCACTAATTTTCTTAAATTATTAAAAGAATTTATTTCCATTTTATAAGCATTATTATGAATTTATTGTAGCAGGCACAGTATAGCACTATAATTTTGGACGATAGTCTCTTCTTTACCATTTGAAATTTTGAATTATATCAAATTTTGTTTCGTTGAAAACTGCACAGAGGCTCTCAGCTACAAAACAATTAGCTACAACCTGTTTTTGGTGAGATTAAGGCAAATTTAATTTAATAACTTAATCATGTAAGGTTTATCCATTTTCCTTAATAAGGTATTCATTTCTTTAATGTACATAAATATATAACTTTACTTTAAAAGGAATTGTAGGATCATCATTTAGATCCACATCAGATTATGAGCTTAAACAAAATTCATATGCTGAGATCGAACTTTTAGATATACATGTAAATGGTGTTTTCTAGTTAATATCTTGAATTCTTAATAAATTTATTTTTCTTTTGATTGAAACTTTGAAAGTCAAGCCTATCATCTTTTTGTAGTTCTTAAATATCGTCCAGATCATTAATAAAGCTGTGGCAGTATAGCCACGGTGTTTTACTTTTTACCTATGCAGGTTACAACATACAAATTACAATTAGGATGGTAGAAATAGTTGTTACAAATAGGCCAAGGAGTCGGAGTCGGAGTCGGAAGCATAAAAATTTGAGGAGTCGGAGTCGAAGGTTTTGTCTTCGACTCCACAGCCCTGGTTATTGTTATAATGAACAGTATTCATGGTCTCACTAACTCTAAAAAAAACAAATTTTTCAATAAATATGCATTGTCTTGTACCTATTTAGTGTATTCACTAATCTGTTTATAATATTTACCTTCAAAGAAACATGGTGGAATAAACTGATGACAACATTACCAGGAAATACAGGTACTGTATAGTAGCACAGTATGTTGAATTACCAGACACCTGCACTGTTTAGCCAACAATAAAACTTCCTTTAAAAAAAAATAAGTCAAGTACTATGTCACCATTAATCATAAGGTATTGAAAGCTGTAATATCAACACACATCTGGTCACCAATAATTACCTGACACTGCCATAAAAAGTCGAGTCGTGCTGTCCACTCCACTTGGCGACCATGAGCAATAACTGCTAATAAGAACAGCAGGATATACACTACCCCTAGGACTTCTGTTGGAACCACAGCCCTGAAAAAAAAAAATTAAGAATGAGTTCTGTAACTGAATGACAAAATAACACTCACTTAAGTATAGTATAGCAAAATCTCTCTTGATATATTGTATGTATTCTATGTCATTATCTGTACTGACAAACATTTACAAGTATTGGGTAAGTATCTGGAACACTGTTACTTATAAGTGGAAACCTGTAATAAATTGTGACCACAGCAACACCAACAAAATATTATGAATTCTAAGTAAGTAAGTTTCAAACACACAATATCTCTTTACTTACAGTATATAATATCATCATCTCATTTTCAATCTTAGAACTTTAATAATAGGATGGCTTGTCAACTGTTTACAGACTTTTACAAGAATATTTGAAATATTTGCATATAATATTACAGGCTGGTTTGTGTGCAAAGAACCTAGGCTTATGCAAAAAATAAATGATATAAAATGATGATGGAATTAAAGAAGTGCAAAGAAACAATACAGTTACTAATAACTTTAAGAAAGAGACACACACCATAGCGAGATACTGTAGAGTTAATGTTACCAGAGACATGAACCAGTTTGAAGAAAAGAAGCACCTACAGCAAAATGAGGCATACCAACTATTAACTTTACAATAATTACAAAAATTTAATGTTTTACCCAACACGTCTGTCATAACAGGCGAAAAGCGGGAGATGTGTGATGAATATAAGTAACGAGTACACAGTAGCCATTGACACGAGGAGAAGTGTTTTGACCAACACTGGCAGCCGGAGGAACACTGCTATAGCCATGAACCCAACAACACAAGAGAGAGGAATATATTCAGGCAGTGGGCACCACAAGTTGCGCACAAACTCTTGGGGTCCTGGGCGGCTTGATGTTAGGTCTGTTACATTGGCTTTGCATGGAATTTGAGGCAGCTCGCATGTAAACTGAAACAGAGAAAATACAAGCCATCATTATTCTTTCTTTTGTATTTAGAACAAAAGGATAAAAAAAAACTTTAATACTGTAATTTGGTCATGTAAAACATAAATGTTCACAAATATGAGTCATAAGAGGCACAATGCCTTCAAAATTATAAATAACATCACATAAGTATTTAACAAAAATGTAATATAATACTATATGAAGGAAGGTGCTAAACTTACTGAGTTCACCTGAGCCATGATATATATGACGGTTACTGCTACTATGGTTAAAATCAAACGAAGGACAAATCTTCTTGCTGGATCCCAAGATGTAACCTTTAACCTTTTTATAAATGATAAAAACAGATAATACAGTGTGTGAGTTATAGAAATGAAATACTGTAGTGTACACTATATTAAATGTATTCCCAAATATCTACATCATCAAATTTTCTGTAAGACGAATAAACACAATTTATAGATTTCTAATTTTCTCCTTCAATTTTGAACTAATTCTATTGATTTAATTTCAAACCTAGAAATAAAAATATCTTATACATGAAAATATATGTACCAGTTTTTTTCAAATACGTACTGTACAGTACAGTAGGTTCTCAAATTTCACGAGTTTTTACTTCGACATTTTTTATTTGGAAAAAAAAAAAAAAAAAAAAAAACACTACACAATTTCAAATTTCGACGGCGGAAACTCGAATTTAGACGGGTATGAGAGGCCCGCCAACGTTCAGACGTGCACAATCGTGTAAACAGCGTCATTTCATTTATATACAAAAGATTCATTATTATTTATTACTGAATGTCTTTTTGATTGAATAAATGTTTGTGTGTGCAAAATGAACAATACAATTCATTAATAATACGTGGAATATTAACACACACGAGGAGGCGAGATGGCATTGTTTACAAAACCAATGACCGATTGGTTCTACATATAAAACCGAAGAAAATAAGACCCTGGTTGTAGCTGTAGTAAAAATAATGTAAAAAAATTAATATGGTTGTTTTAAGCATGTTATTTAATGTTAATAAATGGAACAATAGAAGTAGCTAACCATTAATGGTAAAGAAAAAAAGTGAGATAGCGTATGCAAGTGCGCACATGTGAAAACATATCGTCATTACTCTACATAAGAATATGAAAGCAACACTTATTTTCTTTTCATATATATTTTAATTAATGTTTCTGAATTTAAAACAAAAATTCTACCCACCAGTGGTGGTAAAGTTGAAAACATAAGGAAAGCCAATGTTGTTGTGTGTGTTTTTACTCGGATGACGAAGTTGCCAAGTCGTCAGGTTCAACTCTAGCTGAAGCTGTAGAACATAAAAACTTTTTCTGTGTTGTTTTTAGGTTTTATTTAACTTTATCTGTGTTATTTCCGTTGGTTTATTAGGATGCTGCTTTATTACAGGTAGTAATTAGCCAAAAAAGTAGGGTAAATAAGGCAAAATTTAACCAAACAACGAAAATACCAAACTCAAATTAATTTTCTCCATAGGAAGTTGTATTTAAATTTGGACGATTTGAATTTCGTGAGGTTTTTACGGTCTAAATAGGTGTCCAAATATGAGAGCCTACTGTACTGTACTTAAAATTTGACTTGATATCAATGAGATGAAGATATACAGGACTTTTCATTTTGTCATGTTTGCTCCAATGCTTCATAGTTTAAGCCCAAAATTGTTATCTTCCATCATAATTACAACCTAATCTAATTTACTCAATGGCCGCTCCAACTAGAGGTCGCCAGTGGTTTGTGTAGAGTCCCTCCATTGTTCTTGATAGTCTTGTGCACAGTACACCACAGATTTTACTGTACGGTGATCCCTCGATTAACGAACGGTTCAATTAACGAAATTTTGATTAATGAATTAGCTCCCATAAGGATTTTCAGTTCCATTAACGACAGCCTTACGAGAAACATGCTTTGTTGTGCGCATCAGCTGATCGGCTAGTCCGTCAATTCAGTAATCTGTTCTATGTTTACATTCGTTTCCAGTGGAGTAAATGTCAAGAAAGTTGTGCTCTTGAATATTTTTGCATTTTTTATATTAAAATTATTGGTCATTCTAAAATTTTGTTAACATATTGATAATATATAGAGTACAGGGAACAGTTTTTGTGCGCCCTTCAGCTGATCGAATTACCCACCAACGCTTTTCAGTTTAATTTTGTTTACAGTGGAGTGAACATCGAGTTTGTTGGTCTCGAATATTTTTGCATTTTTACATTAAAATTATTGGTCATTCTGAAATTTAGTTAACATATTGATAATATACAGTGCAGAAATTATTATGAAACATGAAGAAGGCATTAGAACCAATGCACTCTGTAAAGAATATGGCATGTCATCATCGACTGCCTCTACAATCAGCTCAAAGTAAGTTAAAATAGCGTATTCTATTGTTTTTTGTTTATTATTGTACAGTATACTGTACAGTACAGTACTGTATTTAGTTTATTGTACATTTAATGTTTTGTTAATTCTATTACCGGTATACAGTACTTTGTATGTATACTTTTTCTGTGAGTTGGAACCAATTACCCAACATCCCATTGAAATAATAGATTCAGTTAACGAAATTTTCGGTTAACAACCGACTCTGTGGAACCAATTGTGTTCGTTGATCGAGGGACCACTTAAAAATACCCAATAATAAAGGACTACATGGGATGAATAGGAAATCATTAATTGTGGAAAGATAGTTTTATGCAAGGCAAACTGTCAGCCAAACTTACACCCTCACCTTGGATGGTGTGAAAGTGAGATACCTTTGTTTTGTATATATTATACACCACTGTGCACAATAGTCAGTGAAGCAGGGAAAAGTGTTGAGAGCAGCAGGAAGTATGTAATTGAGGGGGCATCATTTATGATCCATCGTCTTCAAAAGATGTTTATGTATCATTGATTGATTGAACAGTACAACTTTTTTGTGTTTAATGGTTTAGTGTATGACTAATACCCTATAAGGGATTAACAGTGACAATAGGGTAAATTCTACATAAAGAAAGTAGTAGACATGTTTTGAAACTGGTCAAGTTAGAGAGTAGTACTTGAGACACATCAAGTAAACAAAAGATAGATGTATACACTTTATTTATTATAATTCATGATATTGTAAGGTATATAATTTTTAAATTTCCTCCAAATACAATTAGTACTTCAAAACAGAGTAAAACTGAAGAATACAAAAACTTCAGAGAGAAACTTACCTGGATGCCAGCAGAACAATCAACATTACAGATATTGTTACAAATGCTGCCAAGAACAGGAAAAGGAAGAGCAGTGTACGCGGCAACACCAGCGCCTGCACTGAAGCCACAAACAGCAGTAAAAACAGAGAACAGAGTAAAGAGTTGCCGAAACCCACATCTAACTCTTCGTGGTACTGAAAGAGAAGATAAATTACAATGTATACAACACAAACTAAATACCTGTACATGATGTAGAAGTTAAAGATTCTTGCTTGATGCTACTAGAGGTGGCTGTTAAGTACTTATTATGATATAAACAGGTCTTAATTCTGTGGCCTTCACATATCCAATGATATTTCCATCCTCCCTGCTACATCTAGTGAATAATGCTGTACTAAAAAACTGAATCTAAGTACAATTAGGGTGGCTTACCAGGTAACTCAACTTACATCTCTCTCTTTTTCTCTGTCCCTAAAGCACAAGGTGATTAGTGAAACATGAGTAGACTTTTCCCGGTCTACAGATCTGGCTTCGATGGCCTGGGCCAAATATTTGTTAACGCGATTGGAAGGTGCATGTGGGAGTGAGGAGTGTCTCTTCTTAAATGGCCGTTTGAATTTGTCTGACAGCAGGCTAGACTGTAAATAAAGAATATATATTATCTATTACATTATCACAATTCTAATGTTAACAAACAAGTTGAAGGACCCTCTTAGTTCTAAAACTTCAAAAGTCTATTTCAATTTACACTATTCTCTATAAACTACATTTGTTTTTCCTGAGACAAAAACAATAAAATCCATAAATTATTGTATTTTATGAAAATTTTATAACTGTAAAAATTCAGGTTAACTAAAAAATATGAGTTATTCATTATGTTTAACTCATAGAAACATGAAGCATCATAATAACTGGTGCATACATGAAAATGTATGAGCTAAATGAGCTGAAGCTGCTGTGACAAGAAAAATATTAAAAACAAAGATAGAAAATGTTATATTTGAAAACAAGCTAAAATACAGTACACTTCAAGGCAAAAAGAGTTACAAGCATAAATATTCATTCTTGGGTGCCAAAAACCTTATGACCCTAAATATAAGACAAGTATAATGGTCTAAAGCAAAAGCTATTAAATCAGATGCTGTACCCAGGTTCCATCAACAAGTTCAAGATACCTTAACCTATGTAAAATATACAAAATATGTACAATATATGTGAAATTAGATACAGGTAATACCATTATAAATGTTATAAATATTTTCAAGATAATAGGGACAGCAATACAGAATGCCCCCCCAAGTTCACGGATTTTTATTTCGCGGTTCTCGGTTATTCGTGGATGACACCCTGGATGTACCCAAGAATGTCTGTGGGTAGTTTTAAAGTTGTCGGCATTTTCGCGGCTGGGACAGGGAGCCATTCGCTCTGGAGACAGTAATTTCCTTTACCTGTATTGTAAATATGTGTGTGTGTGTAGACACAGACACACAAAACACATACAAATAAATAATTGGAAAATCCTCTGACAAAAATCAGAATTTTTTTTTTTTTAAATGTGACAGCCTACCCTCAAGTCCGTGCTCTGTTAATATAGTACTGTAATAGAGAACGGACTTGAGGGTAGACTCACATTTTTAATAAATTTGTTTCTGATTATTTGTGAGAGTATTTCCCCATTATTATTTATTTGCATGTGTATTGTGTGTGTGTGTCTACACACACACACACACACACACATACAATACTACAGGTAAAAGAAATAATTATCCTCAGGGCAAACACATAAAGGGTATATACCAACCCCCCACCCGGCCCGCAAATGTTATTCGCGGCCATTTTGAGAACCTAACCCTTGCGAATTTGGGGGGCCCCCTGTAATTCCTTATTAATTGCATTTAAACAAGTTTCAGAATGTCTGTGCCACAGCTTCTTGCACTAAAGAAATTATCAACAAAGTCAAGTCCCTTCTCTAATACAAATCAGGCAGCAGCACACCTGAAGCCAACACAAACATAAGGTGAAGAGACTTTCCCTTCCTCCAAGTGGTTCAGTGTAGTTACTTCTACAGTGACACACAGGTAAGACTGTGGCATGCTCCCCATACTATATTGTACAGAACAATATATCAAAAGCCCCTACGACTCTAACAAGTGAATATAGTAAATCTATGTTGTGATGTTTAGCTAAAGATAACTAAGAAATATTTCTGACTAAATTAGTCTTAAAGAGTGGGCAAATATAGATCAAATGAGCCTTAAAGGTTTAGTTTATCTGCTAACATTTCAGTTTTTTTTTATTACTATCTCATAACTTCCTGTATGTACAACAAAACAATAACAAATAATTCACCTGGATTAAGCTGATTAATCGGTAAAATTTCCTTGATAATATCTGTACAGGTACACTTAAATATTTATTTTCAAATGGCTTTCATTATGTCTGATATCATTTTGTAATGAAAGGCCATGTAAATATTCAACGTTTTTTAATACAGTATATTGTTTCTAAATAAATTATAAATGTTGGTCCTTTTACAAAATTCCTGGGGTGGAGTTTTGGGAGTAGAAGAATACCAGGTACTTTTAATTCTTAATATTAATGTCGTCAGCTGTTAGAATTACTGTACATGTCTGAATCCTTCTTAAAATTACCATGTGCCCAACAGAAGTAGTCTTGCAGTCTTTTAAGGAATACTGCAATACTTTAAGAGTTATATTCACTACAAAATATTATACAGAATCTCAATGTTGTGGAGGAGGATATTGTGTTTAATGGTTCAGGATTTAACAAATACAGTAGTACAGTACTCTACTGTAAATTACACTGAGCCTGTACTGTACACAGTTTTCTCATCCACAATATTGTTCAAGTTGTAAAACACTCACGTCTTATTATATAGTTTTACAAAAAATTTTGTATTTCTATTTAATACTTTATAATAAAAATACCTCATATATGTGCTGCAGTTTTCTTGAAGAAACTTGTGTGTATTTTATGTTTGATACATAATATACATCTTAAGAGCGATACCGACATTTAATTTTAATGACCGTTAACTACAATTTTAATGTTTCTGAACGCAATAAACTAACACATTTTCAAATGTGTTGGGAAAGAAGTGCATCTGTAATAAAAAAAAAAGGGGGTTGGACAGGGCGAAGGGCAAAGAATCAAAGCATGTTGGTACTACACTGCTTCAACATCCAGGCAGGGAGAAGGCCCAAGACTTGTATCTTTTATAAACAGTTTACTGTCATGTAAAAATCACACGAAATAGGAATAATCATCCAATTAATCCTTAAAGTACAAATGTTATTTCTGCAATAACAGGATGAAATTTTGTGTTTACTGCCATAAAATAATGGAAAATAATTCAGATAGTAAAATTTCCTCCATCTCATGTAAGAAGTTGTTTACTATCATGACCTTACCAAGCTACGCAGTACCTAACATAGCTACGTTTGTTAAGTTAGTATTGGCAATGTTTATTTAAAGTCTGTTCTTTGATTATCTACTTGATTTTCCCTATAGAGTATATATTCATATATTATATATATATATATATATATAGATATTCAGAAGAGCATATATAGTATTGTATATTACCAAAATTCTTTACAATTATCCCTATTTGGCAGAACAATTTATACTACAGTACAGGTATACAGTATGTATGTATTTTCTATATTTCGATTTACTGTTTAATGCTAAACACATCTTTATTGCTGAACATAACTTTAGTACCATATAACACTTTAAAACAACTGAATTTTGGATGTAGCTGTGTAGATCTGTGTATACTGTACTATAATAATGCACATATAATTAGCTTTTCTCGTCTTTAATCCCAATAGTCATGCATGTCATCTGGTTAATGTTTGACAAAGGTAACACTGAAATTATAGTTCAATCGATCAATTTAAATTCTGAAATCAAGCTAGGCTGGCTACAGTATGTTTAATTAAAAAAAATATATCATATAAATGCCCTGGCTGAATGATCTGAAGAACTACCCCAGGCAAGGCAGTCTTCATGGGCTTGATAATTCAGTTGCTCCTAGCATGAACAGCTACCAAATAATGATTTGCATCATCTCCATGCCCATCTCAATGTCTCAATAGTTTCACTAAGTATAGGGATCCAACTACTACGGGGAACTGAAGGCCAAGGAAACAGATTTGTACTGTTCCTGTACAAGTACTGTACTGTAATGTGCAATAATCATTTAATTTTGCACAAAGCTGGTTACTTTTTCCTGTTATGATCCCAGACTTTAGTACCCCTTTGTGGGAAGTTGAAGGCCACCCAACAGGAGAGGAAGATGCTTAAGTTAAATTAGTTAACTTTTAACCTCCTAACTAGTAAAAAACAAATTAAGCATATGAAGAATATCATGCCTCAAAGGCCAATTTAAGACATGAACAAATAAACTCTGCTGGATCATCAACCTACCAAATAAAGAAGCATTTTTATCATATCTAAGCTTAAGGAATCTTTAAATAACATTCCTGAAAAACAGCATCTAACTAGCTACCATATATCAAGCTTCTACTGTACACTATATACAACTTTACTTCAACTGCCTGTACATATGGAGAATTGCCTAAAGGTCCAATCAATCATGCAGAAGTCTTTTGCTGTAAAACCCTTCAGAAAAATTGTCTGATAAATGTGTTCTACATTGGATATATAAATCTAAACAATAAAAATAAAAACAAATAAAAATTATTTTTCAGTTCAGTGCATAAAACATAAGTGGGGTAAAGTACAAAACATAATCTAATGTTGTTAGGTTGTCCGAGCAAAAGTCTACATTAAACTTATACTTTAGAGCAGAGCTCACGTATTTCCTTAAAATTTTCAATTAATAGAACTGACATCTGTGCTAGGATGATATTCTGCATCTAGTATCCTCTAAATACAATTTCCATCCTTTGGCTAGGTAGGTTTGGCAGGATGTTATTCATTACAGTAGGTATGAGGTTCAGTACTTTACGAAATGGCACTTCTAAATTATTGGTACAGCAGAGCTAAGTCATTATTTGTAAAAAGTGCTGAATGTGTTGATGAGTACAGTACTGTACCTGTACTCATTTATAATGTTAATTTAACAATACTGTATGAGTAGGTATTATTATAAAGTAACTACAGGTTGAACCTCCCTAATACCAACAACCTTGGAACCTGAACTAGGCCAGAATATAGAATTTTCTTCTTTAATGGAGTTCACATATAAGATACAGTACTGGGTAAATATTACTAAGAGAACCAGATTAGCGGTGGCAAAGTGCTTTATGTAACAATCAAATTTTTATTGTTTCTCAATACTCTACTGTACTGTACTGTATAATGACAGGGACTGTTCATTAAGAAATAAATAATTCAAAATACGATAATTTTCAAATGAAGTAGATAATGTGTCTCCGAGATATAAAGTACCTGCTTAAATTTAGTATCGGCTTTAAAATTTGTTTTTTTTAATATATATTTCCCAATTTTGTCACAATGATAACGGTTTTCTTAAATTCTATGCATTTATTACTCTTAAAGTGTGCCAGGTAAGTTTATAGTGATTTACAAAATTTTCAGAACACCAAACTTGCATGCCTGTGTTTCTGATGCAACCAATGTGCAATTCTTATGCATAATTCCAAAAAAGAAGTTTTTGGTTCATATAAATCTGGATCAAAGAAGTTCAACCTGTAATAAAAGTACAGATATATCCTCAAAAGAGGGACTTTAGCTGTGACTGGAAACATAATCCTCTCTTATTATTGAAACCTGTATTTGTTTATGGTTGTTTTTCTTATGCCGACCCTTTATAGGAAAGCAATCCTGGGCATTAATGAGAGCAATTCTCTTATACATATATAAATTCCACAATGTAAAAACTAAATTTTAGAAAAGTTTTGCTCGTTCATAAAAATTATTAATACGTAGTAAGATGAAGACGAGTCCCATTGACCTGATGGCCCATTGGGGAGAGTGAGGATACAGCAGTTTGAAAACTATGCCTCTGGTACAAGGCAGCATAGCCAATACTGTACTGCACTCAACCACCTCTCACTTCGCTAATTGTAAAGTTAGGTACCCACTCTGCAGCTGGGACCACCTCACTCAGTAGCTGGCGACAGGACTTGAGCTGGCAGCCATTGGGTCAGAATGCAAGTGCTAATATACAGCATAAACCCTTTGGCCACAGCATCCTACACTTGACTTCCTTAACTTCCCTAATTGTAAAGTTATTTACTCATTTACAGTTGGGTGAACTGGGAGTGCCCCAGGATCAAACCAGCAAATATTAGGACAGAAGGAAAACTCTGTATCCACTGAACGATCTCACCCCTAAAAAATAAAAGACCTAAAATATTTTATATATGTCCGAGTATGAAAAAAAAGTGACCAAGCCTTTGTGGCACAGTAACACCCTGCAAAGTATATCTAGCTCCAGGATCATCTGCCTTGTTCAGCAGTCACAGCCTTGTCAGTGTGTTTATGTTCAGTTTAAATTCTTCTTGAATTTCAACTGTAAAGGGCAACCCCAGGGGGAAAGTACAGTACTGTATTATTCTAATTGATGTCAACAAGTTTTATGTCGGATATTAATGGTGTAATTACACAAGGAAAAAAATATGAAATGCACAACTACTTTTTTCAAAATTAAATAAAAAAATATATGGTAACCCATAAGCATTTGAGAATTGCCAGAGGCTGATAATGTGACAATAAGCATTAATGCTGAAGTCCGTTTTCCACACTTGTGTGAGTTAGCCATGATTACCCGATGGTAACTCTCCATGTCAAGGCAAATGGCTTATAATGCTGACTTCTATTAATTGGTTGGTTTTATCGTGCAAACTCGACTTCATTTTGCCAATACAGTACTGTACATGCTTGTTTCACCCCAGAATGGCAAAAATATACAAGAGCCAATCTGTGCAAAGGAATATTTTGTGCAGCAGTATCACCATGCTTTAATATGATTACAAAAAATATGAGTGAGACAAGATATAAAGAATAAACATATTAAAATAAAGAACAATTAATATAATGTAAAGAAAGCATCGACCAAATTACAGTATGTTCTTTACCTTTCTTCATCACAAGGTTTGGCAACTACAGTATATAAAAAATCCTCATAGCATGTACATATACAACACTTAACAGGTCCAGTACTAGTGACTACGCTGTATAAAATTATCTGCTACTGTATCACTCACTTTTATTATTTTTATTATTATTATTATTTTTATTATCTTTCACTTTCACTTATAACAGTTTGTAGGATTCTTTTTAATAATCAATTGATATTAAAGTAAACTCAGAGGTGGTGAACCACATGAGTACGTTATTATGATCATTGCGTTGTTCACCATTAACTACAATGACTGAAAGTGAAATTGGGTCCCATAGGCATGACTGTCAATTAGGGACAGTGTGGTTTCAGCACACACTGTATTATACTAAGCCTTTGGTACACAAGGAGGCAGCATGGCTGGCACTGGACTCACCACCTTCACTTCTCCAACTTGTAAAAGTTAGATACCCATTTACAGCTGGGTGGGCTGAGAGTGCCCCAGTATCAAACCATCAACCCTTAGGACAGGAGGTAAGCACTGTGGATACTCAACTGCACTGCTGCACTGTCTAACTCACTGTCCTTTTAGCCCATCTGGTATAACTGCTGTTCACAAGCCATCCGTCCATCCATAACCTTTTCACAATTTTGACTTCTCAAAACCTAATGACTCAGATTTAATGGAACTTTTCTCAAATGTTCCTTGGAAGGTTCTCTTTCAAACTGTTTCAGATATCAGTGTATAACATCCAATATAGCTGCTGTTACAAAAATCAGAAACAAAAAATTTACTTATTTCTCGTCTGAAACACATGGTTCCACATTGCTGAAATTTTGTAACAATGTTCCTTCAATGGTCTAGTTTCACAGCTGCTCAAATATTTTAGTACAGTGCTAAATGAATTCTAAGGGCTTGAGCCTCCTTGTTATCATTCACAAGTACAGCATTGGGCAGAAAGCCTGAGTCTAACTTCTAAGACTCAATTATGGGAAAAGTTTTGCATGTCCTTTCTTTAGAAAAAATTTGTATCCATTTACTGAACAATAACTGCAACAATAATTAAAAAAAAGTCTGGAGTTGATCTTTATGTGAAATATCAGTAGAAAGGTTATTATCAATAAATATCTGATAATTCTTTCAACTAAAGCAACTGAAACAGGCAATTGATAGGACAGCCTCTTTATGTACATACTGGCTGAAACGTGCATTGGAACAACACACACACACACAGCTGGCATATTCTGCCAGAGTCCACACGCAACAGTAGAAATATACCAGCCAACGATAGTGGGGTGGGAGCATAGGGGTGACGAGAGGTGGAGATGGGGCATCACAATATCATTAGATTGTGTACAGTGCCACAAAATTGTGTAAGTCATTACAGTTTTCTACGAGTTGCTGTGGTGCTTGGTTGCAGGCTATGGGAGACAACTCTGTATATTACTACATTCTAAAAACTGCAGTACAGTACATAGCTGTTGGTAACGCAAAATCTAAGAATCCCAACAACAGACATAAAAATGGGGCATACAGGATAGGATATCTGGGAGGAGATTCACTTTAAGACACTGTTGAAGGATGCAAATGACATCTATGATTACACGGTATTGTCACTGTACAAGGACACTGCTACCCACTTATGATGAGAGCTTAAACATTTAATTAGTAAATAATTATATGTTAAAGTATGAAAATAAAGCAAAAAGAAAATAAGGATGGGTTAAATAATATCCAATATACTGTACTTAAAATTACTCTTACAAAGGATTAAAACACTTTAAAAACAAGAAGGTAGGGAGCAAATACATTTCCAGATGCAAAACAGCCATGTACAGGCTTAAATATCCCCCAACTCTACATAACTGCTGTTACTGTTAAAGGATGCTACAAGCCATCCATGGTACTGGACAAGACTATCTGCAAGTGGAGGGCTGCAAGTACAAAGTATTTTGATAAAATCAAAAGTGTCATAAATAAATTCTAGATCTTCTGAGAATCTACATATGCACTGAACTTTGATCAAAATACCAAGTGATTTGGAGAAAGCCAGCAAATGACACTAGCTGTCCAATGTCCATAACAATGATGGCTTCTAAAAGTCATTACAGGGTGTGTCAGGGTGGCAGGAGAGTGAGACGATTAAAATGTCAGGCGTTGACTTTAATGACATTTAATACTCATTTCAGACTATTGAATTATGGATAACAATAACCCTTTGAATACAGACAGATTAGTCCCAGGGCTGTACATGTAATGGTTTATATATTATCTGTCATGCAACTTGTTTCCACAATTTTTAAGTCTTCAACAGAATATTAAAATGTTATAAAAGTGATCGTGAGGTGAGTGATAACCACAACAAGGGTAAGAGGCTTCAGGGCCTAAAACTGAGCTGAGCCCAGGGAGGGTCACAAACAGCCATACACAGATCATTACGATTCACTCACTTGTGGGCACGTTCGCTCTATTTCGTAGTATTCGTGAAAGAATATATTCCTCTGAAAATTGAAATGGGGGACTGTTAGTGTGTTAGTTGCCTGTGACACAAGACATACGAATGATGGGTCACTGTTAGTCAGTTATAACCACTAGCAGCACTAAAGTGGGACAAGTTTTAAAAGTAAGAACTGATGCACTTACAGTGCCATTGTTGGCACCAGTGAGCACTGATACAGAAAGTGAGGGACTTTCTAATCATATTCTTATTTTTACAAACTCATCCTTGACCAGCCTACGTAAAGGACTGCACAGATAAATAATGAGAAGTAAATCATTTGTTTAAAGTAAGACAATTAAGCTTGATAGATAACAAAGGTATCAAACTTCAAAATATATATCTAAGGAATATTACTGAACAGTAAACTCTAAATTAGCATAACAGGCACAAATACACTAATTCTTTTTAACTTAAATGATGCAACACTAAATAAATAACTACAGTCTTAACTTCATTTTTAATTAAATAACTGTCCAGGTTTCAAGAAAAGATGGGAAAAGTAAAAGTGATTCTCAGATATAAATCAGTTGCAGGAGGATAATATAATGATCTTTTAGGGTAAATCATCTAGACTTGTGTTGTTGCTTCAGTATAAATATGTATGCAATTAAACCAGACAAAATACTGTTATTATGATGTTCAAGATGGACTTCAACTTTAGAATATATATACTACTGTATATGAAGAACTTTAAGGATTATCAAATTTGTATTAATACAATTACTGGATAGAGCTGATGGACCTTCTGACATTTAAGATATTTAATAAAAAATAATTAAAAAATAAATTGTAAATTCCTTGATCACTGTATGTGGAACTAAGTGATTATACAAAAGCCACCTACTCAACAGTTCTTTATATATTTAAATGTATCTAAAGTAATTTACACTGTTCTTATACTATGGTCCATAGTCTACTGTACACTATCCACTGTGGTCTACAACAACACAAGATAATCAAGGAGCCTAAAGAACCATAAGTGATAACATACAAGTGTTCTGGTATAATGAAATTAAAAAGATCTGTAACAAAATAAAATCAATCACAGTACATATGAAAAGGCAATGGATCAAGCAAACTGAGGTAGATACTAACAGGAACTAGGCAATTATTTCAAGCAATTAGCTGTAGTTATTCTCAGATATTAATTTATAAATTTTGTCATTTCTATTCACATGTGGATGACTAAGATATAAAGACTTTCCTTAATGTCAACACATGAATAACTCACATGAATAACTATCTTGATTCAATGTAAACACTTCATAACCAAGTGTAAAACACAGATGGCTTGAGCAAAACTACACATGATGCTTATCAACTCTGGGAGACAGATCTGCAGTTATTTGCTTGATGGTGAAATATTGATTCACCTCAGATAATGGAAATAAAAAAATATGAGGAACGGTATAGCAACTAGTCAACTTATGAAGATACTGTGTGTATATATATATATATATATATTATATATATATATATATATATATATATATATATATATATATATATATATATATATATATATATATATATATATATATATATAGTATATATATATATATATATATATATATATATATATATATATATATATATATGTACAAAGTGGTAGAAATTTACCTTCTTGGTGATGGATGTAGATTTGTCCTGGGGAGGTATTGCCATGTTGGAGAAGGGAACCTCCATCGAGTACTTTATAGAGTGTAGAAGCTGTACCACCACGTTGCTCACATTCTTGAACGATAATTTTCTGCGGTGTGTGGACCCTAAGGCGGACCGAACCTGAAGAGTGTTGAACAGGAAGGGCTGCAGTGATGGAGATGGTGGTAGTGATGAAGTTGTTGTCGCACCACACAGTGGCAAATACATGGGTCACATGGTGGTGTTGGAGACCCAATTATTGTCACCAAAACAGGAGTCGAGGCAGTGGAGATCAGTGCAGATCACACCACAGGTTGGCCAAGTTGATGGATGTGTTCAGGAAGAAAGAGACGTGGAGATGGAAGGGCCACAAGAGGAGGGAGGGAGGGAGAGGTGGAGTGGGAGATCCAACCTCCACTACCCTTCACACCACCCCCTCCCCCTCCAATATGCCCACCATCACCACAGAAACAAGAAGAAAAGTTAGTTACTGAATAGATACAGAAGCTCTACAAGCAAGTACTTTTAATTACTCAATCTACATTCTACATATGCACCCAGCTACACATATGTCAACAAAAGCTATGACTTATAGTTTTAAAATATTCCTGCATGACCTGTACCATTACCCGAGGATATATTTGACTGGACTGAGCTGAAGTAATTATTTAGATGTGGTTATTCTTAATTAAATCTTAAGACATTTTGGATTGAACAGTTTCATTAAATCAGCCAATATTTCATAATAATATGTTTCCAAGACATGATTAAAAACTGTTTGTGTTGAGTGACGCTTTGTACATCTTTTCTCACTTGTGAAAGTTTTAAAAAGAAGTTACCTTTTCATGTGTTCCTATTTATCAATATCAATAGTATATTAATTTCATTATGACACTTTTGTGTAAACAAAATTCATACTCTTGATATCATGAGCGAATAAAAACATTCTCCCTTCATTCATTTTTACTGTTGTAATAATTGTGTTGTTTCATGCTGCTTCCCTTCCACAATAAGATGCTAAATCTGGGTTACCTGCTGCTTCACACACACCAACATTATCAACCACTAGCATTTCCTTCCCCCCAATTCAGTCATACATATGTTTTCCACTCATTCATACATGCTTCATGTCACTTCCTCAATGTCTCCTTCATCCCATCCTTCCATCTCCTTGGTCTTCCTTTCTCCTTCCAATGATGTACTTTTGGAACAAACACACTTTATAAAAAAATTCAGTCCCATTCTCTTAATACCAGAATGCCTGAGCAGACCCGGATTTGCGCTCGGCCGAACTCCCATCTTTCACCTTTTACCCAACTGGAAATAAGTATTTGATGGCTTTGCTGGCTATCCTTGGTGGAATTGTCTTAATGTTTACCAGTGTTTATATACCCACACTGACTAGGTACATTGGAAATTGAATATACAGTACCTGCATTGTCCCCCACAGTTTTAAAGGGTAATGACTCCCAGGTGAGAAAAGTGTGCTCAATAATGAGTCCCTGAAATGAAGAGACCCACCCAACTAAATTAAACTTCATCGACCCTGCCACAAAATAAAACTTGTGTTTCTTAGGTTATGAGTCCCAAGGAATTATTATCTGTACTACTCATGTATTATATTTTACCTGATTTATGACTACTGTACAGTATTGTGTAAAATTACTAAAATATCTTGTTATCATTAAATTCTTAAAATTATGATTAACTTGATGTTTCATATAGCTAATTACTGTACTGTATAAAGAAAGCACTGTTTGACTTACTATATATAAAAATTGTGTACCTGTAATTACAGTATGTATAGTGAATGTATACAGTATTATCATTATTCAAGGTAAGTTGCAGTGCAGATTTCAATTTGATTTTTATTCCAGGTATCTACTTAATTTTTCATTATTAGTAAAGAACAGATAATTTACAAAGACCCTTTGTTAAATGAAAATATGAAATGCTTACAGTATAATAAGTGAGTTTAACACACACCTACTTTAGGTTCACACTTAAGCATTATGTGACACACAGCTATAGAAAGAACTGTAATCCAAAAAAAATTTCTTTTGTATTTGTCTTGAAACACATGAAATGGTTATTCTTAATTCTTTATAAAATGCAAATACCCTGTACGTTCAGTAAGTTCAACGGCTATTATTTTTTTTTACAACGCTCAGTCCTCTGGGATATAAATTTGCTGAATTATACTGTATTGTACATGTGGAAACTGATTAAGGAGAATTTGGTCAATTGTAGCATTTCAAGGGTGTCTGGGAAACTTAATACATGGATTTCTAAGTAGATGCTGTACTTAACAATTACAGTTTTGTACATTTGTCCAAGCATCATTAATAACTGTACAGTACTTCTAACATCTACTACGGAGTAGTAATCACTGAACCGCTGTTTTCTGTGATTGGATACACATCATACATGCAAACTAACATGTCACTATCTATATAAATATCTATAATAAAACAATGCTTACATGCAATTACTTCTAAGTGCCATGCTAACTGATATACTGTTCTAAGTTCATATCTTGTCAAAATGTATGTAATGCAGTGGCAACAGTGAAGAAAAAGTACCAAGTAACCAGAATCAAAATATAGAACCCAGAAAGATTTCTTGCATTCCTGCAGGTTCCCTGAGTGAGCTGTCATTGTTATACAGCTGGGAGAACCTTAGAATTATGATGAGAGCAACAAGAGTTACAGGAATGAAATCAATTGATCATGTTACATATATTGTATGTTCGTAGATAAACATTTTATGGATTTTAAGTTTACAACCAGCTTGCATTTTGTAACTAAGATTATTTTAATTCTCTTATCTCTAAATGTTACTAATGACTTCTTTTTCATTTATATTAATTACAAAATATGAGCAAGCTGTTAGTATTATTGTTGTGAGGAAGGTTTCCCTGAGGAATGGGGGAAGCAATGCACATGATAAAGAAAATTCAAAAGCACAGAAAGCTGGAAAATTTTAGAATATACTGTACAGAAAAAAGTTAAAATAAAATACAAACCGACAGGAACCAGCACAGCCACCAACGAGTAATTACGTAAAGAAAATTTTCAAGTACCCAGCAAGCTTGGATGTCATCAGTGTAATATGAAAAACAAATTACTGTACCTAACAAGAATTAAAGATAAAATAAAAAAGAAAATTATAAGAAATGATTCACTTTAAAAATGTTAATAGTAAAACTCAAAAATTTTAGGTTTAGTGTAAGAGACATTATGCATATATTTGACTCTTCATAGTTAAAATTGGCATTGTTGATAAAATAAATTAATTCATGATCTATGTTTGAAAAGATGCGTTAGTTTTATTATTCAGTTAAGAAGAAAACTGTACTATTTAAAATAAATTATATTTCACGTTCAGTGGATTAAAAATAAAAAATAAAAATGATGTACATAAATAACTGCAGCTGTTTTAATTACAGGACTATAATATTAGTGTATAAATAATGTAGAAAATTTATTTTCAAGATTTCATAAGTTTTCTCTTTGATGGTTGTCAACTTGTGGAGGGGAGAAAAATTACAAGAGTCAGATCGAGAATCTTGAAGCCATGGAAAAATTTGCAACCAATAAACTTTACATCAGTTCATAGTCTGCAAGGACGTGACCCACTGAGCTGCTGGTGTGTTAGATGCAACTCTACCACTAACAGTAGCAACTCTGACCAAACTTTTAACTTGTGGAAAACTGTATAGTATTGTATTTATGTTCTCAGTTTGTCATAAACAAGAAGCAGAAACAAGAAATTTCCCTAATATAATAACTAATGAAGATGCAAGACAAAGATTTCTTCTTCTATATCAAACATACTATATCTTCGGCCAACCTCATCTATAACATCTACAAACATTTTTACCTCATGTAAATTCACACATCATAATAAAATAGAATTCTCATAGTAATCAAACTGTATGTTTCTGTTGAATAAACTCTTAATTTCCATTTACACCGTACCTTTTTCTGCAACACTGACGTCCCTGAAAAAATCACTTCCCTTGCTGTTTAAACCAATGTACTTCATAGTTCTGTACTGCCAATATAGACCAAGTCTCAGAGGCACACTTGCACATCATACAACATAAAACAAGATAAAACTCATGCTTCTTTTTATCATCTAAAACTTTTCTACACACAACATAGAAACTAAGAGGAAATTTAGAAGACTGATAAATTAATAGACTAACTCATATACTACTGTACTGTAAACCAAGAATTCAACTGAGAGTTTTGTCCTATGAATCCACAACAACCTTTATGTTCCTGACAATAATGGTTAAATCTGTCTAATATTCCCACCAAAATGTATAAATTCCATAAATTTATTGCACTGTACCTTGCTCTTTAACCTATTTAAATGATTCCTTTAAAAGGCTTCCCATACACTCACCTTATAAATTCTGCAATGGATTAATATCTGCCTAATTCCCACAGAAGACTGCACTATATTTCAAGAACTGTTAATGCTAGATATGAAATTCTACAACATGCCATCATCTTTTCCCACAGTCAAAGCAGGGCGACACATTATGATCCTTCCCTAAAAATGTTGACTATCATCATCACCATACATTCATGGGTTAAGGATCTGATGCCAGTCCTGTAGTACTTTATTTGCTGAGGTATTCAGAATGTTAGCCAAGATAGCAGGAAGAATCTTCCAACAAATATTTCTAATACTTGTACTGTTTTAGTCTTTAACACTTGAAATGTGTGGAGATGGTCCTTAGCTCAAGCATCTTAGGAAAGTTGTATATGTGACCGCCATCACTCACGTCCTGGGGGTAGCAGTGTTAAAGATAAAGAAGTAGTAGAGTGACTTAAATGTGTGTTGCAGCTGCCACTTGCTAGTGCAAGGAAATAAGAAATGAGAAATAACAAAGTTTTCTCAAAAAGGCGATACAATGGAAGAAAGAAATATGGCATGAACAAAGTAACAAAAAGATTGACAAATGGAGCAAAACACCCACTGAAATGGAATACTGTAGAGTCCTATGTAGTTTGGAATACCATCATAATTGGTATTACTATAAATGCAACCAAAATTATGGAAGAGTGTTAATCTGACTTCCTTATGAATGCAGCCAAAATTGTAGATCATCAAGTTCACTAAGATTCTTATTATCACTATACAGTACATAATAAATTATATGAAAAATTAAGCCATGTTTCTTAAACTTTGGTCCATCATCTTTAACACTACAGTATCATCATCTCAATAACTAGCTTCTCCTCTAAGTACCCAGTAAATACAGTACACCACAGACACACTCCTCAACACCTGGTCCTGTACTGTACTACATAAGGTGATCTGAGCCCAACTGGCAAACTGGATATCTTCTCCGTTATTAGTACAGAATAACTGATAAATTCTGGAAACATTTACTAACAAACTCCTATCATGCTAAAGAACTTCAAATGTGAATATGAAATGCCAATTTGAAATATTTACACCGCACGTAACATCAACATGTGCGTTAGCAAAAATATTAGATATCATAAGCTCAACTGATATAACTATGAATGAAATAAAATAAATCAATCAATCAAAATAAAAAACATGATTGTGATAATTTGTTAATTATCCTGATTTAATTATCTCCCAAACTTATAATGCCTCAACACTATACAACAACCAAACCCCACTTCTACTATTATCACATTAATATATTTTTTATCGTCACATTCTAGTCTACTACAATGCTATATCTGTAACTCTACATACAGTACATCTTGTTTCTACTTTTATGAAGACATCCTGATTTGGCTCTACAGGTCTCGCCCTACAACTCTGCTCTGAAGTGACTCTAGTAATGCACTCTGTTAATCCTACCACTACACTACACTCAACACTACCATTATAACCCTAACTTTACCATTTTTTTATGTTTACACCATCACTTGGCTTAGATATATTATATATAAGCAGGAAAAATTTATATGGATTAATTTTAATGAGTAAGTTATTAGAGTTGAGGCTTCCAAGTAACAGCATGAAAATTTAAGTTATGCTGAGCCTCCTGAAGACACTCACTCACAATACTGAATTATGTTAAGGGCTTAAAGCTGCATGTACTGTACTACTTCTAACACAGTAGTTTAGTATATTAATGTACAGAGAAGGCTGCCAAGTATATTATATTAATAAACCTTATTAAAGAATATTTGTTAATTTTATCAAAGGTAATTACTGAATATCATCAAAGTTAACATAGTGAATTAAAAGTGATACCCACACATTTTCTCAGTTATGTTTATAAGCAAAATTGAGTTCTCATGTTTAGGTTGTAGAACAAGTTTCTAGTTCTCTACTAATACTGCATGTAAAAAAAGGGGGAGGAAATAAATAAAATCCAAGACTAATAACTGAAAATTAAAAATCTAAGCAGTAAACCAATGAAATAATAGTATACTGGCAACTAAATTTATTCAAGACATCAAAGCATCAAAATATCATTCCTTCACCCTCAGGCAAACCCAAGTTTAACGAGTACGTATATAATTGTCTCCATTTTCTAGCCAGGCACAAAATAACATACCTTGCGTCTCCGTGGTGGCGGGATAATGAAGTAAGAGGTTACATTATGGTCCCTTAAATACTGTGAACGTAAGTACCCATCAGCCAGCTCCACCTCGTACTCTCCACCCAGACAATCTAGAGTAGCTTGTGTTATATGCACACGCCTGTGGAAAACCTACTCTATGAATTTATTAAGTAATTTACACCAGTGTTATCTAAGAGCCTATAACACAACTAAACACATCAAGGAGGGAGAAAGATAATTGGTTTAATTTTTCTTAACTTGCAAATAAAAAAAAACTGATAAAGAGTAAACTTATAGGTTTTACGAGTAAGAATGCTGAAAGATTACACTGATGAGGTAAATTCCCATATCTAAATAATATTTTTGGAGGAAATGTGCGACAATCTGAAAACAAAAATTGTCAATGGAACTTATAACTTATGCAAATGCAAAATAATGAGCATGTTTAATAACTGATTTTTTGCTGAAAAATTAGCTGTTTTGAGTTAAATGACCTTTCCCAATGAATTAATTTTTTTAAATGAATTACTATACAGTACAGTACTACAGTATTGTATACTGTACTGTATTAATTTTATAATACATAAGCAAAATATGCCAGTTTTGGCAAACTATTTGGGAATTGAGCAATACTGTAGTTGATAAGATATGCGAGTCATGTTTTATTTCTAACTTTGAGAGTAAAACAATGAATGTAGAAACTCCCACCAACACTTCACTAATTAGACCTCAGGAACCAATACATAGTCAGTAGTCAGTGTGAGTTATAGTTTTAAGTCAATAATTGTACAATAAATACGAGAAATCAACTTTTCACATACCGTATGTAAAATCAACGGAGGGAAAAGGTTAAATATTAATATTTTCCAGCATGAAAGGGATGCGAGAGTCCTGGTTGGGAATACATTTTAATGGTTACAAAATTTAGTTATGGTTAATTGAATTTCAAGTAGTGAGTCCTTCTGCTCATACTGTGGAGGGTAATTCAAAAAGTATAAACACACTGAAACTTATACTGTATATTTCTCCCTTAGGAAAAGTAGTCTGGATTTCCATTTCAAGGAGATAAGATAAAGTAATAACAAATATTATTAAAACCTGGCATGAGACCACTTACCCAGGTTCTCCTCCAGCTTCCATCATATTGGCCAGAGTGACATCATTAGACCACACATCATACTGCCACTTGCGGAGGCCCAGAACACCACACAGCACTCGCCCCGTGTGGATGCCGACCCGCATGTTCAGTTGTACATCTGTTGCATCCACTACAGACCTGTAATATTTCCCCATGTAATCACAAAATACCCTTTTTAATAATTTTGTTCTCTATTTAATTTCTTGCAGTAACACAATACTGTAGTATATAATCTCATATTTCATACACAAAGTAAATACACTGTACAATACAGTATACAGTAGAGGGAATTGAAAGCATAATAAAAACGCTTTAGCACAGAAGTTACTGTCTCCATTAATAAAAAGACGTCACTGCCATGTCTGGACTATACTGTATTTCTCACCACAAAAATACAAAACTAACAGCCAGGCATCTTTCCTATCTATTCAAAGCTACAATAACCACCATGCTTTCCCCCTCCCACTCCTTTCATTGTCTTGCCTGATGATACACCATCAAGGGAATAAGGGTTAAAGTGTATATACAGGGGTGTACTGTATTTCTGTACTACGAATTTGTGTTCATGACAACCAAAGATGTTTAAATAGTAAAATCTGACTACTCCAACCTCAGAAAATGTGACTAACCAACCCAATAGAAAAGAAAAAATTGATAATCAACTTTGGTATACAGTAGTACAGTACTTCAGATTACTGAGAATAATTTTTTTTTTTCAGTAATTTGAAGTACTGTACTACTGCATACCAAAGAAGATCTTTCCCAACAGACTTCAGAAATTGCTGATCTGAGAACACATTGCATCTCTGCCTTATGAATTTGAAGATTTGAGAGATGAAGTCATAATACTTCCCAAGATACAGAATGTGAGCACTGCACTGAGTCCACTGAGGAAGCGGAGACAAAAGAGGACTAAAAAAGGTCTTCCTTCATTATAGCAACATCAGGCAGTGGTAATAATATAATTCGAAAGCACTGTGAACTGCAAAAATAGCTGATCCACATAAAGTGCTTGCTAAGGTATGAATAAACTGAAGCTTATTCAGTTCATTTTGATATAAAACAAGTGATATAGGTATACCAACCTGACTGAAGTAAGCCTCATGTGCTGGTTATCAAAGAAACATAATAACAATGGGAAGAAAGGAGGGAGAAGATGCCTGGCTTTAGTTCTTATTTTGGCCAGAATAATATGACCCAGGCATCCCTTGAGCTAAGTGATAGATGATCTAGTAGTAACTATTATTTAAGCAAAGAAAAACAGTCACTTTGCCTCAACCTGTATCCTTCATCACAAACTTAAATATAATCTACATTAAGAGCCCAGAGGCTATGAGCTTCAAGGGCATTATGATATTTAATATTACAATAAAGTTGAAAAAGAAAAAGTTATGAAGAAAGAGAGACTTCCCCCACATGAGCACTCTTGATCAAAGATACTTTCTTGTGTCCTAGGTACAGCTAGCCGAGTATATATAAATACGTAGTCAAAACTGTTATATGTAAATGTCTTGGTGACAGGGAGTATGAAAAGCCAAGAGAGTCATTAGTTATAGGCCATGAGGAATCTACCCTTACAGTTGCTGTAATATCAGATTATCTTTTTCTGTGTCTGCCAAAGATATAATCTGTGTTCAGGGTCACTACGTGGGAGAAAATAGCTCTTATGCTTAAAACACCTTTTTCTCACCAATGTGCTATCCTGATCACAGATGCTTGTAGTGGATTATTATTAAGGCCATAGGTTGAGTGACAAATTGAGCATAATATTCAAACAATGAAACACATTCACAGTTCTGAATTGGCTCACAATCGTTCTGAATTATGAGGAAAGTTTTCCTATCTATATCTTGGAGCCCTTTAACCAAAATATATATAAATATAGAAATATATATATACAATATTGTAATTATTACTTAATCTGTAGTTGAACACACAAAAATCAACACTGTAGTTTGAGCTTTTCCCCATCTAGTTATTATATGTCTTATTTGTGTCACTTATGTTACTTGTATATTATTTGTAATTCGAAACCCATTCCCCAAATATATAACTGTATATTTTCAGCCTTCTGGCTGCCAAGCTCTTTCAATAAACCGTTAATTATTATTATTATTATTATTATTATTACAATATTTCTAAACAACTGGCCCAAAGTATGGGTGCCATGAATGCTCCTCCCCTGGCTTGTCATTTTCTATGTTAACTGGATATACAGTATATAGGTTTGTGTTTTATTTTATCATATAAAAATATACAAAGCTGATCATTTTGGCCACAAGTACAGCATGTGTGTCACGATAAAATGGGAAAAAATTAAAAAATCAAATTAAGAACAAGCAGTAAATATGCTAGCCATTAGAAGACTTCCTCAAGTGTATGAAGGCAATACACTCAAGAGGCAGTACTCTTTTTCCTTAAAATTTTAATTACTGTATATACTACAAAAGTACTCCAAACAAACACTAAACATGAAAATGTTATATTTACAACAATATGGTATTAAGTTAGATACTTTACAAATTTAGTGAGTTATAGAACCCTAATCTTAAAAACTTGCATATATTTTGTTAGACAGAATTCACTGTACAGACTCACTAAGTCAATTCCTTAAGGTGAAAAGGAGTAAGAGATGGGTTCTGCTATGGTACTCCCTTTCCACAAGAAAGCCTTAAATCTGGTCTACCCCAGCCGCTTCTCATAACCTAGCATAAACCAGCAGCAGCCTGTATTTCTCATCACGACATCACCTCCCTGCTCATTTACACATATTGCTGCTTCCAGGATGGCTAATCTCTGTATTTTCAATGTCTTTTTCATCCTCCCCTTCCTTCTAGTTATTAGTCTTCCTTTCTCCTTCCCACGATCCAACTCTGACTTGCACATTCTCTTTACTGTAGCAATCTTTCACTAACATTCTCTTAATACCACCAATACCACATGAACAGACCTGGATCTGCTCTGGGGGTCAACACTTAGACCACTTCTACATCTCCTTATTTCTGAATTCCTTCTTCTCTGCATTCTATTTACTCAACACATTGCTCTCAAGTATGTAATTTTGGGTACTTTAATTTCTTACATCTTCCTGCATCCAGACTTCACATCTACACAATGATGTTGACTCAATGAGGCTCCTGTACATTACAATACAATAATTACCTCCTCTAACACTGTCCTACTATTTTAATCACTTTACTTTTGATCACATTAACTATCAACACTCTCTTAATACACACACTTCATAAACATCTGTAAATCATCTTCCAAATCACTCACTAAAACAGTGTCATCTCCACACAACAGATGACTCACCTCCTATATACATTACATCCTGTATCAAACTCCACTAAACTTGCATCTCTCGCCACCACTCATGATTTCACCTATCTCGCTACCCCATCTATATACTAAATAGCCACAGTGACATTATACAGTACAGGGGCCCCCCAAATTCGTGGGGGTTAGATTCTCAAAATGGCCAAGAATAACATTTGCGGACGGGGGAAGGGGGGTTAATTTTTACTTGTGTACAAAGAAATGTATATTCCCACACACACACACACACAAAGCACATACTGTACAAATAAATAATAATGGGAAAATACTCTTACAAATTATCAGAAACAAATTTATTAAAAATATGAGTCCACCCTCAGGTCCGTTCTCTATAACAGTACAGTACTTTATTATTAGATCACGGACTTGAGGGTAGACTGTCACATTTGTAATAAATTTGTTTCTGATTATTTGTGAGAGTATTTCCCATTATTATTTATTTTTATGTGTTTTGTGTGTGTGTGTCTACACACACACACACATTTACAATACAGGTAAAGGAAATTACTGTCTCTTAGAACGAATGGCTCTCTGTCCCAGCCGCGAAAATGCCGGCAACTTTAAGACTACCCACAGACATTCTTGGGTACATCCAGGGTGTCATCAGCAAATAACCGAGAACCGCGAAGAAAAAAATCAGCTAACTTGGGGGGCCCCTGCATATGTATCCTTATCAAAGTCATGCTTTCACAAAGAAACAATATTGGTATTATCTTTTCATCTTAGATAATTAATTGACTGACATTATGGCTCTGTTTAGTAAATTCTGCCAAGAGTTAAGATTAGGCATCTAAAAGTGTCTCTATTCATAAAACACTTATGTATCAACATAAGAATCCTACATTTAAATTTTTTTATGAGATTCTTCTTACATTAATATGTACAGGTATAGTATTGTATTTTATTCAGAGTGAAAGCAAAAACATAAAAAATAATTGTTTTATTAATTCTTTTAATGACTGGTATAATTGTACTGTAATAGCATTATCTTAGAGAATAAAATAACACCATTAAGTTATCAAAGACTGCCTTGGTCTCCCTGTTTAGCTTCTTCACTTCTCAGAGTTACTTTTGACTCATAATATAAATTTTGTAAAAATTTTAGTCATCACAAGTCATTAATATAATTATAAGGCTATAGTAATGTTTATCATAGTACTGTATTAATTATACTCTCTAAATAATTTAAATATGGCAAATTCAAGCATAATATCCATTAGCCAATACATGCATAACTGAAAACCATCTTTCTGAAAGTCATAACTACAAATGTCTGAAATGCATGTCCAAACTGCAGCAATATTTACATAGTAAATGACTTAAAACAGGGTAGTCACTAAACACAAGTGTAAAGGTTGAGGAACTTCTGAAAGTTCAACATTTAAAGACAAATAACATTAACACAAAAACAAATCTAACGAATTTACCTGATAAATGTCCCAGTAAGTTTACAGACCCCACATGAATTTTTATATATGCATGTATAAGAAAATAGCACTTAACAGTTTGACCTAAGCCCTGCATACAGTATTATTATAAAGACAAAGCTCTTTATCACTTTGAGGATCAGACAAGGGCTAAACAATTTTGAGATGCTGAAGATACATTTAGTAGTGTGTCCTGTACTGTAATCTCTATGAAGTCCCTTGAGGAACCATGTTTGTGTGCTCAAGACAGGCTGAAGTATTATTATGAATACTATCTTAGTGTCGCAACAGTCAAGGTCATGTGGTACCGTCTGGCTGAAGTAAAAACCACTACGAGGGCCAGATTGTGTGAGCCAAGTAACACTGTCAGGGTACAATGGAAATTTAGTGACCACCCTGTCAATTAGTTTAGGTATACAATACTTTATCAAAATAAAAATGTAAATATAAATGCTCATTAGCTATGTCACAACATCCTCGAAAGGATATGTATTTGCAAGAGATAATATGCTACCATGAATGCCTCCCATTCTGACACAACTAGTAGAGCAGTAGAGCAGCTAAAGGCATAATTATGGTAGCATTGTTGAGGTATCTTTACCTTCCCTCTTTCCAGGGTTTCTTGCTTCCGCCAAAAAGATGAGATCTGTGTGCGAGTAAAGGTGCCACCACCCAGTTACATACTTCTACAGTTCAACAAATACAAAATATAAACACACTTAAGTCTCAACAATGATAAATTAATAACATGCTGTATTTTGACATTGAGGATCCTGAAAATACTGAGGTAGACCATGCAGCATTTTAATAATGAAATTTGTACTTTAAAATTTGGGGAAGCACTAGAACATTTCTTTACATGTATACACTACCATTACTTAAAAATACAATAATCTTTATACATTCATGCATAAATAAAATTTAACGCCGTCAATGGATGGAGGCAACTTTTTGCTGATGCTGTCGCCATCAATGTTTTGGGCAGGTGACACTACAGGTGATGCAGTCAACTTTTCACCCGAACAGAGCGTCAAGCGTCAATTTGTTCATCAACTTCTAATTTTCTTTATTTTTCCAAGTTCGTTTTCAATTATCTTGTTATAAAGACGACCGACAAGGCCATGAGGGAGTTGTTCATCAAATACAACACCCCCATCCCCTCTAGTGCTGCCATGGAGCGCATGTTCTTCATGGGCAAGGATGTCTTGAGGCCCAAGCGCAGCAGAATGAGCGACAAGCATTATGAGATGCTAGTATTCTTGCGGGGGAACAAATGAATAATTAAAATTATATAATATAAATCATAATAAATGAATAAAATTTAATGAAATTTTTTTTATTTTGCATATGCTACTCCCATACACAGGAGAATACGCGTTTCGGGGCTGCATTTGTACGTCACTGAAAACGCGTTGACGCTGATGCTAACGGTGTCAATTTTTTAAATCGTTTACGCCGACGGCATCCAATTTCGCGGCCGTTTACGCTGACGCTGGTGGCGCCACTTTTTTTCGTTGACGAGTACAACAATCAATGTACCTGTATATATATATATATTTTCCAACAAGCTTATCATAATAACATGCGTCTGATATTCTTTTTGTTGACGAGATACAATTAAATTTTGTAATATCATATAGTACAATAATAACAATAAACTTCTCACATCTTGCATATAGCTACTGAATTACTACATTCTACTCAAGTAAAACTGAATTGGGCACTACACAATGTTTTTCCACAGCCATATCCATTACAGTATTTTGATTGTTATACTGTACTGTACTGTGTTGCATTGTATTGTACTGTACTGTATGTTTTGGGAGAAACTGTATTTTTAATACTGAATGTTGTTCAATATATAGTGGCTGAAGACACACATATTGCAGAAAGAACCAAAGAACCAATATAACTCAAGACTTGCAACCAGTCATTATTTAACTAACATTCTCCCATTCAGACCATATTATGAGCTCAACATATATGCCATTTACTTATTGTATCAGTTGAATAAAATATCTCCTCAAATATTCAGGCCAAAATTTCTTTACCCAACAGTGATCCCAAGCAAACAAGACTGCTTCCTTCTCTAACCTTAAAATTAAACATTACCTAAGTCCTCCACCCTCTGCACCATTACCCATAATCTGTGAGATGGCAATCCTCAAGAAAAGTTGTTGATTTTTTCAGCCCAGGGCATAAATGAAGCTAATGGCCAAATCACTGAATGTAATAAGTCACACCCCACCAACCACGTCTATTTATAGACGTCTATTTATATCATTAACTAGAGTTGACTTTAAAAATACTGTACTGTACTTGTATGAACAGCTCTTCCATTTGGTTTTCCCCAAATCCTCAGCTATTAATCTTCACAAAACTAAGATAGATCACCACCAGATTTACCACAAATCCTGTACACATTCTTTTCCAAGGCATGTTTATCCTCTCCTTACTCACATACCAAGTCTACATCATTTATAAAAATACAGTACACTGTAATTAGTTAATTGTGTTTCTACCATACTTTACATAATAATAATTGATAACATATTCAGTCAATTTGACCAAGGACAGCAAACAAAGCCATGAGAGGCTTGTTTCCAGTAGTCCTTATGCCAGCAGCATCTGGTGTTCTTAGGGCCAAGCGATCACTCATCCAGGGTCCGACTAATTACCCAAATGTACCCAAATGTAGCCGCAATGAAGTCAAATAATGGTCCCACAAGAATAAATCGGACTGCCAATCACTTCTCGACTGGTATTTGGTGTCACGAAGTCACAAAAAATTGGTAAACTTAATTTAATCTGAGTTAATAGATCGAGTGCATGTACCTAACCTAACACAACTCAGATTAAATTAAGTTTACCAATTTTTTGTGACTTTATGACACCAAATAATAATCGAGAAGTGATTCACAGCCCGATTTACGCTTGTTGGACCATCGTTTGACTTCATTGCGCCTACATTTGGGTAATTACTCGCTCCCTCGGTACATGCACGCGATCTATTAACTCAGATTAAATTACGTTTTCCAATTTTTTTTTACTTTGTGACACAAAATACCAGTCGAGAAGTGATTGGCAGTCCGATTTATTCATGTAGGACCATTATTTGACTTCATTGCGGCTACATTTAGATACATTTGGATAATTAGTCGGACCGCTCATCCATTACTAACCAGAACCAACGTTGCATAACTTCACTGGGTAAATATTCGTTCATTGGCTGTCCTCAGGTTTTGGTACAAGAAGAGGTTTTGGGCTGATTTTGGGTGTGTTTTACTCAAATCTTATCTTCATTTCCTGTGTAAATTAGCAGGTTTTGCAAAAAATGAGCTTAACCTAACCTAGGTTAGACTATACTCCAAGTGATGAGTATAGCCTCAGATAAACATGTCGGGAACAGAAATATACGCTTAGAAATTTGTGAGATAAAGTGCTCCATTAATTTTTATTTGCACAATATATATTATGAAGTCGTATGTTTCATTTTTTCTAGAAATTGTGTCTGTAATATTGAAAAATAGAAACCTGTGGACAGCCAATAGACGAATATTATTAACCTATACTGTAACTTGATACAACTATGCATTTTGAAAACTGTTATTAATGATAGTGTACTGTATGAATTATACCAGCAAGCATATTTGTATTATTTAACCTTGTCCAAAAGTCTCTTAGTCTCTTATAACATACATTCTAACAAATTTTCATTCCTGGAGCTATAAATAAAATATATCAGGCGAAAACATTACATTCTTGTAGGGTATAAAATGTCTTAAACCATAATGATGTGAACTAACAAACAATGAAAATATGCAAATAACAAACACTGAAAAGTAAACAAAGTGTGTACACAGGTGAACATAGAGGAATAAACAACAAAAGAGCAACAGCTGTAACTTACGCTATGGCATCTATCATGTCTAGTCCCATCTCAACAGCACATCTGGCATGGTCACTCCGGGCTTCTGGTAGGCCGGACACACAGTAATAACAGTCGCCAAGGATTTTGATACGCAAACAATGGTTATCCTGTTAACATAAGTAAAGTTGTCATTTTACCTGTTACCTGTATCCCGTGGTGACAGTCATATTACTGTATCTATATCATCCAACATTATATGATACAACAACTGTAAGATACTGTAACTTAAACAATGCTCTAAAATACAGTACAAAGCATCACAAATTTCATAAAAAAATATGCATCATTAACATAAATATAGTGACACAAGCACACCACTTGGATGTCAACTACATGTGATATCACACTGTGTGCACAATACATGTGTGTGTGTGTGTGATCACTTACATCAGCCAGCTGGTCAAAGCGGCCAAACAGTTCGTTGAGGAGGCGGATGAGTTCCTGGGCAGTGCACTGTGAGGCCAGCACTGTGAACCCCACGATGTCTGCGAACACCATGCTGGAAGACATGTACAGTGCTTTAGTCGGTAGCCACACAAAATATCAAATGCATTGTGTGTGTGTGTGTGTGTGTGTGTGTTTTCCTGTAATTATATAATAGTTTTATTTACAATTACTGTACAATAATTAATGCAACCGACCGTCGAACCAGTTAACGAGCCATTCCGAGGAGAAACGAGTTCACCCCAAATGACTTGAATAACCCTGCTTTTTGTAGAAACTCTGAGTGATAATTTTCTGTTGCAACATGTTAGAGACCCGACATATTACAGAGGGGAGCAAACACCCAAGCCACTAGACCTCATCATAACAAACAGGAAGGGTATGGTGGCCAAACTGGAACACCTTGCCCCAATTGGCACCAGTCACTATATAGTGTTGTCATTCAGATTTAACTGTTACCTAGTTCAAGATAAGGCCAGGCCAAGGTGCAAATATTACAAGGGAAATTACAACGGGATGAGAGAAGAGATGAGGGGTATCCACTGGCCTGACTCATTAAGGCACAAGAACGCAGACACTACGCTGAATATCATAACTAGTAAAGTGACCCATTTGATCGATAAATATATACCCAAGACCAAACCCAGTGCCTCTAGGAATACGAGGGGATCCCTACACATGAACCATGCGGCGGTCGACAAAGTTGGGAAAAACCCAGAAATTCAAGACGTGGGTTGGGTCAAACGATGAGCAGGACAGGAGGATGGATGTATGCAAGAGCCAGAAACCAAGCAAAGATAGAGTGTAGAAAGGCTGAAAAGGAGTTCCAGAGGCTGGTTGCAAGCGAGGACAAGTCAAACCCAAAGGCGTTTTACCGCTATGCAAAGTCAAAATTAAAAACGCGAGTAAGAGTATCAGGCCCGAGGCTTGAAGATGGTACTTATGCAGATTCTGACCAGGATAAAGCTGAGGCATTGAACAGCTTCTTTTCCCTTGTGTTTACAAGAGAGGATGCGATTAACCTTCCTGCATTTGAGGACAGACGGTTTTACACAGCACTGACCCACATTGTGTTCACAGAAGAGGTCACTAGAAATAAACTGTCAAAGCTAAAGGTCTATAAGAGTCCCGGCCCTGACATGGAGCATCCCAGGGTGCTAAGAGAGTTGTGCAACAAGCTTGCAGAGCCCCTGAAGATCCTGTTTTGTAAATGCCTGGATGAACAAATGGTCCCCAGTGAATGGAAAATGGCTTATGTGAGTCCTATCTTTAAGAAGGGCGATCGTCACTCCACGAACAACTATAGACCAGTGAGCCTGACCAGCATAATATGTAAAGTACTTGAGAGTATTATCAGAGATGCCGCGATGGAACATCTACTACGAAACAACCTTGTAAAGGATTGCCAACACGGTTTTATGCTGGGGCGTTCCTGCTTAGCACAATTGCTCAAGGTATTGGATATTTGGACCCATATTCTGGAACAGGTTGGTAATATCGACAATATATACCTAGATTTTGCTAAGGCCTTCGACAGTGTACCCCACGAAAGGCTGAAAATCAAACTGAAAGGGTACGGAATTCGGGGAAATGTCCTAGCGTGGATAGAAGACTTTCTACATGACCGCAAGCAGTGTGTGGTGATTAATGGCAAGAAATCATCATCCATACCTGTCACAAGCGGGGTACCACAGGGCAGTGTATTGGGCCCGCTGTTGTTTGTTTGTTTCATAAATGACATGCCTGACGTTGTACACACCTCCATACAAATGTTTGCGGATGACGCCGAGTTATTTCGGGAAATCAAGAACCAAGCGGACTGTGAAGAGCTGCAGAAGAATGGTCGAAGAAATAGTTGCTGAGATTCAATGTCACGAAGTGTAAGAGGATGCACCTGGGACGTGCCAACGGTAAAGAGGCGTATCATAATTATGTCCCAACGGGATGAAGAAACTGCACTATTTGAGACTGAATGCGAGAAGGACCTGGGTGTGTATGTTGAAAATGACCTGAAGTTCTCGGGCCATTGCGAGAAGAAAGGTAAATCAGGCAAATAAATTATTGGGTCTTATAAGAAGGTCGCTCAGATATCTAGACGGTCCGTCCCTCGTAACGATCTTCAAGAGTGAAGTGCTTCCCCATCTGGAGTACTGGTCCCCGAGATATGCTAGGGACTGTCAGTTAGTTGAAAATGTTCAAAGGAGGGCCACCATGGTGCCTGCACTTCGGCACCTCAACTACCCTGAGAGATTGGAGCGCCTGAACTTGCCTAGCTTATACTACAGACGGGCAAGGGGCGACCTAATTGAGGTGTATAAGCATCTCAAAGGGCACTACTCAGTCGAGTGTCCTTCCTTGGAGCTGGACGGACGCTCGCCCCACAAGGGGTCACAGCTCAAGATTGAAGAAGCCGCAAGTCCAGAAAACTGTGAGGGCAAACTTTTTCGGAGTGAGGGTTGTAAACTCTTGGAACAATCTACCAGAAAGTGTTGTGACGGCACCGAGTGTGAGCTCTTTCAAGAGAAGACTTGACCAACACTGGAGCAGGTTCAGGTACATTCAGGAGCCGGTACATGTCCAGTACTTGCCAACAGTGCGTAACAGAGACGTGACCGATCGCCCAAGCGGCTAACGAGCCGATCAGTGGTGAAGAGGATAAAAGTAAAAGAGGCAAAAAGTAAGGACCGCCCATAATAAAGAAATGATGCCATGAGCTTCTTATTTACAACTATAATTTAAGGAGGAACACTACATACTTTCCTAGGATAAGAAATAAATAAAACTAGACTAAACTGTAAAATTTTCCTCAACAATATCAATGAACGAAAAAACACTGACCCATGGAAGATAGCTGTACGATGTATAGCCTAACCAATCACGGAATTCAGATCAAAGAAGTCTGAGACAACTTTTTTTGTATACTTCACTGATCTCCTGTTGGACTCTAATCAGTAAGAAATTGTCTGATGGGATTTAATGGGTGTAGCATACAAGATGTCTGTGGCGGGTGAACGATCTGGCAGGCAGCCCACACCCATGATGCTGGCTGGCCTCGAGGTCTTCCAATCTGCCTAGTGATGGTCGCTAATGGCTGTGCCTGTTAATGGCTCGTGTCACATGCCCAATAAAAACACCAGCTTGAGAATCATCCCTAAATATAACTCAGCAACCTTCAAAGGCTAATAAATAAAAGTTGGGAGGGATAAAGAGCCAACATGAAGGTGATCTATGAAACCCCTTGGCAAACAAGAGGCTGCAGCTACCACCACTCCCCCACCTGCCTGGCTCAGGCACTTTCCATTTACCATACTGAAATTACCAGTTAAATAATAATTTATATTATTAGGGTAAATCAACTAAATTACTGCCGACACAAGAAATTATCAAAATCTATATCAAAGGGCAAGGATGAAATATATGCATATTCCGCCACTCAACTGTGCATTCATGGCGGGAAAGTTTAGTGTCTAATAGTTATGAGGATGGTGGTGGTGTAAACTATTAGGTCATACCAGACCATGATGGTTACAGTAACCTGCATGACTGCATGGTAACTGGTGAGAGAAACTGTTTATTCTTGATTCCGGTCACCTGGCGATGAAGTAAGATCAGCTTCAACTACAACAAGAGCAGCAGCTACAACCAAAATAACAGCTACATCTAAAGGATCAATTACTACAGAATCAGCTATTGCTACAGGTTCAGCTAAAACTACAGAATCAGCTACAATACAAATAGCTTCAGCTATAGAATCAACAACGACTAGAGTATTGCTAAAACTACAGGGCTAGGTACAGGGTCAACTATAACTACAGGGTCAACTATAACTACAGGGTCAACTATAACTACAGGGTCAGCTACAGGGTCAGCTACAACTACAGGGTCAGCTACAACTACAGGGTCAGCTACAACTACAGGGTCAGGTACAACTACAGGGTCAGCTACAACTACAGGGCCAGGTACTACTTAAATATCAGCTACAGCCAGGATCATCGCCCACAGCTCTGAATCTTCAGCAACACACAACTGTGTTTACCCAGACTTGCGGGATATACAGTATGCCGGTCTCGCTTGTGTTTACATTCAATTTATCGAAACATGTTCACCGATACCTGACGGCCGTGGTTAAACTCAACTTCACTTTCAAGGGAAAGCAAATCTGCCAGTAGTATTTACTTTTCAAGTTAATTTATATACATAATATGCTTGGGACGAACTCTGGAAATAACAGGAGTTTGTAAATACTAAAATGGTGTCGATATATAGTCTATGCTGGGTGCTTCGACACGTCACTATCAGCTTCACATATAAAGACATCACTGTATTTCACTACAGCTACTGTCATTATTCTTTTATCTCGGTCATTTTCCCTGCCAACTATTGTCAACTCCTGAGTCACTCCTCAGCAAGCTTGCAGTGTAGTAATAAGAAAAAATCTTGGCCACTATACCACCATTTTCACTCGTTCAAATTCACCTCTTGGCTCAAGTAGCACTCGACCAAGCCGTTCTTGGTTGAAGTATCACTCAACTAACTCCCCTTCTCTGCTAAGGAGTATGTGACGAGGCTTCCTCTTGGCGAGAGATTTGACTTCATTCTTGCTTCAAGTAATGTGTGACGAACTCCTCCATGAAGATGTTCAATATCGACTTCACGCTATATTGGTCCACCTAACATGCTAGTGATCTTTTCTGCTTAATTAAACAACATATAACTCCATTCTACATCAGTGACATTGTACCTCACTCGATGACCACCAGATTTTCTATTCTTATATTTGTTGCGAATTTCATCCACAACAACAACCAACCATTACAGTGAGCATAAACGAGGAGTGTATCTAGAGGTACAGTACAGAACCAAACGTGGGTGGTCACTCCTCTCTGGGGTAAACGCTCTCTTTTTAGCACAATAGTCTACCTTTACATTTATGAGAATAAATAAAAATGTATCCATATGAGTCCAAAACGAAAAGTAATGATAGTGGAATTTTCTCGCTAAATCCATGTCTCCTCCCAACTCCTATTTTTACATGTTAAAAAAATGCCCAATGGATACTTAACTACCATAGGATTCAAACAGTCCTCACTTATCTCATCTTTCTTTCGTGGTCAACCTCTTCAGCTCCAGATTCGTAATTGACGGTTCGTTGCTTGCTGTTCTTTTTTTTTCTTCATGTAAACAGGCCATACTCTGGGATAACTCGTGTAACTCACCTGACGTTTTCGTGTCGTTGGATGTAGATCTTGTGAAACTGTCCCTCCACCGGTTTGATGATGTCCGCCTTCATTTCCATGGCCACATGTTGGGGTAGCACCGACAACAGAAGCCGCTCCTGCAGACACAAAAACAAGAAGGAGTTACTGTGTGTATATATAAACGAACTTCTCCGTTGTGAACATATGACTTCTGAGCTGAGTCCTGACACAACCCCATCCATCGTTAGTTCTGAGCAGTTCCAACAAACACATTATCTTGTACATGAGAAAAAACGCTATTACTCGAACTAGTGATAAAGCCCGTCCCGCAACACACGAGTTATTATTCTGAGCCGCCATGAGCCACCCCCGTAACATAAAATACAAAGTTGGTCCATAAACAGTGTCTTAAGTTCTCTTGCGCCTCAAACTGGAAAAGAGAAAACTTCAAGTATACAGTATATGAACAGCAAGAACTACGTAGTAAATTTTGTTTTATTTTAGTGATGCAAATAAATAAACTATTGGTATCAGAAGAGTCCGCATCAAAGATTCTTATATTCGGATCCGGGCACAAGCCTTTGAAACAGAGGCTTAACTGACGGCTCTTCGATTTTTTAGGCAGTGTCTGTCAGTCACCAGCTTAACACACAACTCACTGCGTGTATTTCAAATAAACTGCCACTATATATATATTTTTTCTAAATCTCCCTCTGCTCTTAATCTTTAACGTACTCTGCGTATGAGGATTTGTACAACTTTTTTAACAATTTATAAGTATGAAACACTATGTAAATACTGTATGCAGTTAATACCTTAAAGAATTATTTTTCTTCCTAATACGGTGGTAACGTTCCCGTTTGAAAATATGCGAACAATATATTTTGATTAATGTTTATATAACTATTATAATACACAGTACAGGGTAATTAAACCCTAGCTTTTGGAGGCGGTAGTAGAGGAGACAGCATCAATACTCGCAGCTTCCGCCCAGTGTTCCATCAAAGCGGTGTAGACGCCACTGTATCATCCGTAGCGCCAGGGCTGAACACAATACTCGGGACATCATCCTCTGGGCTACACAATACTCGGGACATCATCCTCTGGGCTACACAATACTCGGGACATCATCCTCTGGGCTACACAATACTCGGGACATCATCCTCTGGGCTACACAATACCTTACTGCCGCTGCCACATTCCCATCATAAAAAGGAAGCGAATTCTACGAAATCTTGAAGGGTGGTCATGTTGACACGCCACCCACAGGTACTAATGAAACAAAAAGCGACAGGTAGAAAGAACTGAACGCTGCTGTGTGTGTCAACGGAACGAGAACTCACCCACCAGCCATCGCCCCATTCCTTGGTTCTCTCTACTCCCATATTGACCCCCACCCTACACTTCTCCCCCTTTTTCTTAACCGACTTCCTAACCCATTGCCCCTTAACTGACCCTGTCCCATCTCTTCAACCCACCCCATAACCCATCCTACCATCTAACCTCAACACCCCATAACCCATCCTACCGTTTCCTAACCCCACCCCATAACCCATCGTGCCCCATCTCGTCACCCCACCCCATAACCCATCGTGCCCCATCTCGTCACCCTACCCCATAACCCATCCTGCCCCTTTTCCTCACCCATCGTGTCTTACCATCCTACACCCCCTCCCCCCTTGCAGCGGATGGAGGCCAGCGGAGCAGAAACACTGAGAAGGACAGAGAACCTAGGAAGGATCTGCTGCTGAGCCCCCCATATCCCTGGGATCCCCCCCCACCCTCCCTCACCACGACGATTTCCATCATAAAAGTCTCCCCAACTGGTCCGCCATGTTTTCCCTATCAAGAACACTTTGTTAAATAGATGTGGAGTATTTGGTGTAGAGGTAGAAGGAGTGGGGTGGTGGAGAAGGAGTGGGGTGGTGGAGAAGGAGAGGTGTGGTGGAGAAGGAGAGGTGTGTAAGAGGAGGAGGAAGGGGGGAAGAGGAGGAAGGGGGGAAGAGGAGAGGTATTTTCATCAGTAACCAAAGTTAGCAAGATAATTTATTGAGTAAAAGTGTCAGAATGGGAGCAACAGCTTTTAACCTCACTAAATATAACCTTATTTGACCTAACCTAACCAAAATGAACTGACCTGACCTAACCAAATATGAACCTGGCCTTTTATATTATACAGTATGAAGGTATCTGGCCCTTGGCTCTAAACCTTTATCCATAACCAAGGTGACTCCAATCCCCTCTCCACTCCCTTCCCTCACACCACTCATCCCTCTCCACTCCCTACCCCCACCAGTCTCCACATTATTCCCTCCCTCCCCCCTACCCTATGTTCTCTCTCTCTCTCCTCCCCTACCATCTTCATCACTCATCCTCTCCACTCCCCTACCCCACCAGTCTCCACATTATTCCTCCTCCCCCCCTACCCTATGTTCTCTCTCTCCTCCGCTTCCTTTAGGTATGGGTGGTCATCTCTCTCTCTCTCTCTCTCTCTCTCTCTCTCTCTCTCTCTCTCTCTCTCTCTCTCTCTCTCTCTCTCTCCCAACATTATTCGGTCCTTTTCATCCGTGTCCGTCCGTCCGTCCGTCCGTCTGTCCACCTTAATACGTATCACTGACCAGAAGCCTTGCAGAGGCGAATGACCTTTGACCTATTCTTCGAGGTCAACCCAGGCCAGTTGACCTATAACACTTCCGCAGACTCCCATAAAAGGACAGACACTGCAAATTTGTACCCGGTATTGTAGGTCATCTCGGGTCATGGGGTCAGGGGCTACTAATGATGACTGGCCTTAACCCGAGGACACCACCCCCGGCTCCTGGGGCCCATCCACTCCAGTTCTCCACATCAATTGACCACCATGAGGACATGCCAGTGGACTACGAATCTACGCCAAGAAGGATGTCCCCTACCAACCTCTCGACGTCCCCCTTGAAGCCGACACTACCGACGTACACGCCATCACAATCACACTAAAAGGTATGTCCCTCAATGTTGTCAATGCCTAAGGCTATGGCCTGGCACTTGACATTATTAGGGACCTGCCACGCTTTGCCATAAACAGATAAATTGTATCGGGAAATTTCCCCCCACACACTCATCATTCTGTCACTTTATGTAACTTGCTGACAAAACTTATGACTCTTCAGGCTTTTACGCCCTTAATGCATGAGTCATAAAGGCAAGCATGAACTCCGCATGCTTCCCAGATGGGCGCTGTAAACGCTTCTGCGCTTCACCTTGCACAGGATGTAAGGGGGTGCCCAATAAACTACCCCCCTCCGGGGCAATAAAAAAATCTTAACTGCCTTAAATGTCCACCTGAGCCAGCTGGGCGTAACTGGTGTCTAGTGACCTGGATTATTTTCACACGGACAAATGGAACAAAAGCTAATAATAATAATAATAATAATAATAATAATAATAATAATAATAATAATAATAATAATAATAATAATAATAATAATAATATTGGTGAGTTGAAGGTGTGTAAATGAAGTGAGGTGGGGGATAGGGGGTGGGAAGTGAGGCGAGAGAGAGGGGGAGGAGAGGAAGTGAGGCGAGCAACACCCTCACCTGTCAAAGCCTTTATCGGTAATTCTTATATCACTATGATGGCTTCCCCCTCCTGATAATTCCAGCAGGGGAGGCAAGCCAGTGTCAGTAGGCAGGTGGAGACTGAGAGCTTAGTGGCACATGGGGAGGGGGAAGGGGGGTGAAGGGAAGGGGAAGGAAGGGGAAGGATCGAGAGGAGAAGGGAGAAGAGAGTAAGAAAAACCAATATATAGAGAGACAACCTAAGGACAAGTCAGGTCGTTCACAGGTAAATGTAAACAAACAAGTTACCTGGGACTTTATCTAGGCCAGGTGTGAGAGTTTCCCGGTGGTGGTGGGAACGACATCGGCTTTCAAGTGTCAACAGTTCTTCCACACAAGATAGGAAGATGATGTTTTATGAGGGCTGTTGTAGTAAGCTGGGAGGGAGAGTGTCCAGACAAGGGGTGAGTGGGAGGGGGAGGGGTCAGGAGTGGAGGGAGGGGGGCCAGGAGTGGGAGGAGGGGGGCAGGAGCAGGAAATATTTGTGTTTACATGTAGCTGTTGTTTACAAGTAGTGCTATACACGGCCATGTCAGGCAGGGTAATGAGGTGCTACCGAGTGAGGCAACAGTCAGTAGGGTGCTCTTGGCTGCTCGCCCTCACCACCCCACCGTCACCCCACCCCCCCTACCACTAACAGCGGGAGGTGGTCACTGGTTCTCATACCATCCACCACTGCGTGTGAGACTCAACACACGGTGTGGAGATGTAAGGCTCATGAATAATTGTGCTTCTTATCTGGACGTTTTCCCGCTTCCGTAAAAGAGGAGAGGCGCACCTAACACAGACCTGTTATTAGTCCCTGTGAGAGTGAGATCTGTCTGTCTGTTCATGCGTCTGTCTGTTTGACCTTAGTTTTCTGTTGAATTGAATTGAAACAGTTTATTTAGCCATAAAAACAGTTGCTAAGAAAATACAGCCAGTCAAATCCCAGCTTCCTTTCTAAAAATTGATATATACTATACATTTATCTCAAGGAAGTATTATGTAACATTTAGTAACATCTGGAATAGTACAATAGAATGGTGGTAATAAAAACATGTTACCACGGTTATCACTTCAATATTTATAAATTTTATTTATTTATTATATATATATATATATATATATATATATATATATATATATATATATATATATATATATATATATATATATATATATATATATATATATATATATATATATATATATATATATATATATATATATATATATATATATACCTAAATTACAGTGGAATTGAAAACATAAGTATAAAGGGGGAGCAGTACAACATGGGTTGTACAGTATTAAGGTTGAACAAGAGGACAGAGCTGTCAGGATTTACTTGGCAATTATTTATTAAAATCCGACACATCATTAGAGGATAATAAGATAACTTTATAAAAAAAATTTGGGTGATATTTAAGGCTCGACTGGCGGTAGACAACACCTTACTAACCATAGGAAGACTTGATAAATCTTTGTGATCACGTTAATTGTTGTCTGTGTCTGCCGTAACTTTACAGCGGGATGACATGAGGAGGAGGAGGGAGGGAATTTGATATTTTTAATTTTGCCGCTTACAGCGGCTAGTTTATTGTGCACCTCATACTCATCCTGTAAGCGGTAGCGCAAAAGGATTACAGAGTATGGTTTACAAAGGGTCATAATAATTAGTCCCCGTGGTCAGGATATTATGGCACTGAATGTTACACAGTATTTCAAATACATTATATGTTTAGTTCTATACATAAAGGGTAACTTATTCACAACTGCGTGAGTACAGGAGTGTGAGGCAGTGTGTCTGGCCTCACACTTTGTGAGGAGCTGCTGTAGGTGGTGTAGTGGACGCCTCGCTTCATTACAGACTCCACTACATTACGTTTAATCTTTTCTGGCTTAAACTTCGTACATTAAAGAAAAGTTCTCGATTGCTTAAAGAAGACGTCTGCTGAAGTAGTAAATGAAGGAACAATAATATCAAAACACTGCTCGACCTCGGTGCTCACAAGGGCGGCGGCCTCCTGTGAGTGGTGGGGCGTCGCGCGACTCACCACGTCCTCCTCACCAGCGGAGGGCGAGGGAAAAGTGCATCAGCTGATAAGAAGTTATTCTCAACATAGTTTCTCAAGGACGTCTCTTGGGGCGTGGCGAGTGTGCCAGCTGTGATTAGAAGAGGGGGAGGGGGTGCAGAAAGGGAGCGGGTGTTGAGGGGGAGAGAGTGTGGAGGGGGAGAGGGTGTAGAGGGGGGAGAGGGTAAGGCAGGGCAAGAGACATCAAGAAGGAGGAGAGTAGAGGGAACAGAAATAGAGGCATGCAAGTGGTAAGGGAATTTGAAAAAGAAGAAAGGAGAGAGACTAAACACACAGCGGCAAGGGAGCAAATAGAGGGGACAAGAGAAAGGAATTAGAACTACAAAAAGAAAAAGGTGGGTGAGGGGGTAATATGAGGAAGCGTGAGAGGGGTGAGGAGGTCATGAGGTTGTGTGTTTTGCTCCAACACAACACCCAAGAGGGCTTCCACCAGCATACCCCCCCCCCCTAGTGTCTGATGCCCACAGTCAGGACGAGACACTGAAGGGTGAAGAGTGGCAACCTAACCTAACCTAAGAGTACACAACACGTTCCACATACACTTCCCCACACACTTAACACCACCTGGGCCACTAACCCACATCAGTTCACGTCACACCCTCTTCCTCCCCATCAACACATACCCTAACACAGCCCATCACATAAACCCACTTATACCCATTTTTACCCACACTCCAGACCCATACTTCGGCGTGGCCAGATCAGCGGACGCCACTCCCTACCCATTTACCCGTCACATAATCACCAGCAGGAAGACACGTGACGGGACACACACACACACACACACACACACACACACACACACACACACACACACACACTCAGAGTGAACAACATACATGACGTGTCCAACCAGGTTATTTTTCTTCCCTTTCGACATCAAGAAAGTAGACATGAAATATAATTACAACACATCATTCAGTATTCTGGGTCACATATCCTCCCTCACACACCTTCTCACCATCCTTTACACCCTCCTCAGCCCTTCCCTCACCCATCCCCCTCCTTCTCTCTCCCTCTATCCTTCCCTTCCCCTCCTCTTCCCCGGGTCATTCACAACTTCTCCCTTTGTCTTGGTCTCGTCCTTTGATGTTCCAGTGGAGGGAGTCAACATCACCTCTCTCTCTCTCTCTCTCTCTCTCACATTACCGACTGCAATTCAAGAACACACACAAGGAGGATGGCGGTATGTCCCCAAACCCACAGTAAATATTGACCTCATATCATCTCAAATTATCTCACCATCCATAGGTCAGGTTCCCCCTGCACTGAGGGGGCCAGCTGGACCTGCAGCTGCCACATTTATTACTGCCACCTCCTGCTGGTGCCAGCAGCATGGCTGGGCTGGAAGTTGCCAGGTGGGGATCAAGGGAGGTAGGACGGTGGGACAGGTGTACAGTAGGACAGGTGAAATAGGGACGTGTTGCAGTAAGAATGTCTGTCTGGGTGTGGTAATGTGATGCCACACCCAACAACACATTCTGGGTTTGTTTATAATGCTTTTACACGTATAGCAGCCCTCACCACACACCTGGATGAGATTACCTGAGACGTATTTGATGTGTTGGTGAACACTGTGAGGCCTGACGACATCTGACACACACACACACACACACACACACACACACACACACACACACACACACACACACACACACACAAAACCAAGCTTCTCTGATCACCAACACACTCGAACTAATTTATTTACCGCCTGATAACGTATCGTATCATTTACCTACATGAATAATAAATTTACTCAATTCAATTCGTAACAACGTATTGATAAACGTTATCTTTGACAAAATATGGAAGAAAAACATCAGTGAATGACTTTGTACTGGTGGTAATAACTTTAATTTTAGCTTAATACTAAAGAAAGGAATACAACCACTCTTCAGGACGTCCCAGAAGGCAGCTGTATGGTTGTTTGGGAGACCTACACTAGCTGTGAGTTACGTCCCCCCCCCATCTCTCTCTCTCACATAATCCCCTTAACATGACCTTTCTAACTAGTGTTGTCCGTTTCCCGCCACTCACCACCACAACACACGGCTGCCATAACATCACCCAAGGGCAGCTAACAACCGAGTATTTGATCCACTGAAGACGACAAACACCAACTCGGTCACAAGAGCCAAATTCAATACACCTTTTTCCTCCATCACTCCCCCGAGGCAGAAGTGTTTGTCTAGATCTTCTGGTGAATATATATCACCACTTGAAGGGTAATGGACGTAGAGTGGTGATCAGGAGGGGGGCGTCACTTGTTCCTTCCCAGAGTGAGGTGGTTTTTACACAGGGCGTATCTGAGGGAGTGGCTGCAGGAGGCGGAGGAGGGTAGTGTGGTCCTCTCCTGGCTAAGTTCTCACCATCTAGTAAATGATAATCCTCAGCACCCTCTCTCCCGTTACTGCACGGGTCTTGGGCCATCAGAGGGGATCCTGACCATTAGGTGTGGCCATCAGTGCCCACAGTGACATACTCCACCGCTGGGATGTAGTCAATATTGCGATGGTCCCTTCACAAGGGGCGGCTCCTACTGCTAGCCCACACATAAGGACTACTACTACGACTATTACTACTACTTCTGCTACTACTACTACTGCTGCTGCTCCTCCTGGTCCCTCAATACTACTACTAAAATCCACAAAACGTTACTAATGGTATAAAACTGCACTGACTGCTACTGCCACTTGTACCTCACCTCTCCCTACATCCGTTCTCCCTCACCTGCCCTTCTCCTTTCTCTATCTTTCCTTCTCTTCTCCTTCACCCTGCCCATCTCCCTCACTCACCTCTCCCTCACCCAGGCTGCTTCTAACCCCTCCCATCATCTCCCCATCCCTCAATCTCTCCTCCCGTCAGCCCTAAAGCAGTACTTGAGGAGGCTACTGCTGGCGGGATACGACCCACTATGAGAGCCACAGCTGGTAGTCTCCTGCCGGCGGCGCTGCTGGTGTCGTCCCACGCTGTGCCCCGCCCCAAGCCCCCTCCTACCAGCCCTGGGGTTCTCTCCTTTAAAACACTACCGCCCTCTACCAGTCTACCTCCTCTATAACTTCTTCTAAACTTACCTCAGAGAGAGAGCGAGTGTGTGTGTGTGTGTGTGTGTGTGTGTGTGTGTGTGTGTGTGTGTGTGTGTGTGTGTGTGTGTGTGTGTGTGTACATTTAAGGTCCTATACACATCACCTCTCTCATTTACTTCTCTAACACACTCACTCACCCAACCCATCAACACACACCTTCCCTTCCTCTCATTATCATCATCTACACCTACACATCATCATCATCTACACTTCCCCCTGTACCATCATCATCCGTCACTCTCCATCTACTCCTTAAGTTATTATTTTGCTTGTTCCTCTTTCCCTATTTTTATTTATTTATTTTTGGTACAATGGTTGATTAGGTGTGAGTGTTCACGTCTTTCTCTCTCTCTCTCTCCCAATCCTTCCTTCCTCTCTTCTTCCTCCTTTTCTTTACTTCATTCTTTCCCTCTCCCCTCCCTCCTCCTCCCCTCTCTTCTTCCATATCCTTCCCTCTCTCCCTCCTCCCTCACTATCTCTCAATTATATCGGACGGAGCCTCACTTTTACCTACGATCTCGCGACACCAAGACAAAAATATGATGGAAAAATTGAACCTCTCCAGAACGATGAGAGAGAGAGAGAGAGAGAGAGAGAGAGAGAGAGAGAGAGAGAGAGAGAGAGAGAGAGAGAGCCTAAGACCTCGTCCCTGGCACCTGGAAGAAGAGGCAGAAGGAGGAAGACCCACACACACACTCACCAGCTTGTCGTTCTCATCCTCCATCTGCAGTCTGGCGGCGATACAGTTCCGGGTGTCGAGAAAGGCCTTCCTCTGCGCCGCCTGCATCAACTGCTGGAGCCACACCCCCGCCACGTTCACCGCCGCCGCCACCACACTATTCGCCACCAACTGTGAGGGAGAGAGAGAGTGAGAGTGAGGGAGAGAGAGAGAGAGAGAGACGGGGTTACTGATAAAGGAATGGATTTTATACTAAAATTTGAATATTTTATTTGACTAGTTTGTGTTAAAAAAAAAGTTTAATCTAAATAAAATGACTCTATTGTTGATTTTATTTAAGAGTATTGTTATAAATAAAATATAATACACCATAAGACTACCCAGAGACACACACATACAGAAATTAAAGCCATCCCCACATACACAGTACGTCAATCACACCCCGTACACACACACACACTGTACGTCAATCACACCCCGTACACACACACACACTGTACGTCAATCACACCCCGTACACACACACACTGTACGTCAATCACACCCCGTACACACACACACACTGTACGTCAATCACACCCCGTACACACACACACACTGTACGTCAATCACACCCCGTATACACACACACACTGTACAGTCAATCACACCTGCACACACACACACACCGTACGTCAATCACACCTGCACACACACACACACTGTACGTCAATCACACCCCGTACACACACATACACAGTACGTCAATCACACCCCGTACACACACACACACACTGTACGTCAATCACACCCCGTACACACACACACACTGTACGTTATTAACAGCCTCCCCCCCCCACACACACGGCACCGTGCCACTGCCTTCCGTGTTCAACATTACCACACCATCCCACCATACACGGCACTGCAATAATTACCTGCAATATTATACAATTAACGTCACCTGTAAGTCAATAAGTGGGAGACTCCTAACTCAACCTGGGTCCTACCATCAAACAAACAAACAAACAAACAAAACCTACAAACAAAACCTACAAACAACCCCTTATGGCCAATGCAGGTTCCCAATGACGACAAACAACCATTAGAGCTTGTAAAACAACCATTAGAGCTGGACAAACAACCATTTAAACAACAAACAACCTGAATGACTACAGACAATCATTAAGACAACAAACAACCATTAGCACAGTATAAACAATCATTAGTACAAGGCAAACAATCACGGCCGCCAGCATGAGAGGACAAACACTATGACAGATTAGCTGGACCGAGATCAATGAGACAACAGGTCAGGTCAGGTCAATATTAGTTACGTTTTGGTGACCTGATGCCGATTTCTGACCTGGACTTGACCATGCAAACTCCTCATCTGGACTAGTTTAATACGCACTCTGACCTGACCTGACTGGATATGTACCCTGACCTAGGCTGAGGTGGTTGAAACTCCTGACGTGGACTGACACCCCCCTCCACCCCCCCCCCCCACACAGGAGAGGAGAGGAGGGGAGGGGAGGGGAGGAGGGGGTGCGTTCGTATCCCGTTGACATTCCTAAGTCATGTTTACACCACAAGTTTGTTTTTATCTAAGGTGTTGGGTCTACACATAACCCCCTGTGTTGAAGGTCCCATGCTGGGGCTACACTCCTTGAATATAACTCCCAAAAATTGATAATAAAAATGATAATAATCCTCGGAAAAGCCACATTCTGGATTTTTTTACGATAGAATGTGTGTGTTATCTTGGTGTGTGTGTGAAGGAAGATGAATGGTATGGTGACGCGAATGAGTTGATGTAGATATGGTGTCTACAGTGATGAGTTGTAGTAAAGGAGAGTGTTATGATCCTTTAGAAGTGTGTAGGTGTGTGGTTACGGGGTGAGGGGTAGGTGTGGTGGTTAGAGGGTGAGGGGTAGGTGTGGTGGTTAGGGGGTGAGGGGTAGGTGTGGTGGTTAGGGGGTGTTGGAGTGATGTGAGGGCAACGGGCTGGGAGGATGGGTCTGGAAGGGTGGAGATGGGGGGGGGGATAGGAGTATGAGGATGGAGATAAAGGGCTGAAGGATAGGGATGGAGGACTGGGAGGATGAAGATGGAGGGCTGGGAGGATGAAGATGGAGGACTGGGAGGGTTGGTAAAAGTGGGAGTACTGAGTAATATATCGACCAGAATGACACAGTAGGTAATGAGAGCAAACAATGTGGGTTGACGAGAGTAACTTATGGCCACAGTTCTTCCTCCTAGCGTTAATACACAGCCCTCCATTACTCCACACACTCCACCTGCTGCTCCACACACCCATCCATCCACCCAGCTCTCAGGTTCTATTAAGTGTGCAATATATCACGGACAACAGCTGGCCTGCAGACTGTTTACAATATTAACTACAAGAACACACCGGGAGGTAGAAGACGGAGGGGGAAGGGGTAGGGGGTTGGAGGAGGAGGGGTTGAGGGAGGAGGGAGGAAGGTGGGAGCGGAGGGGTTGGAGTGAGGGAGGGGCGGAGTGAGGGAGGGGGTTGAGTGAGGAGGGTTGAGTGAAGGGGTTGGAGGAGGAGGGGGGTTGAGTGAGGAGGGGGTTGAGGAGGGGGGTTGAGTGAGTGAGGGGTTGAGTGAGGAGGGTTGAGGAGGAGGGGGTTGAGGAGGGAGGGGTGGAGGAGTGAGGGGCTGGAGGAGGGAGGGAAGAGGAGGGGAGGGGGTTGAGGAGGGTTGGTGTTGGCAGCACATCAACACCCCGCGTCAGACTCAGCCCCGCACTAAGTAACGACGCCCCTGTCTCGCCAACTCCACATTCTCGGAAATTCGCGCCGCAATTCCGTGACATTTGTGCCCAGGTACGAGGGTCTACGAGCTTAATTTTGTTGTTGTTGTCTCCTCCACGATACACAGCAGTAATGGCAGACAATGTGGAAGAGACTGGAGGTAAGAGGGTGGAAAAGGCTGGAGGTAAGAGGGTGGAGGCAAGAGGGTGGAGGTAAGAGGGTAGAAGAGGCTGGAGGTAAGAGGGTGGAGGCAAGAGGGTGGAGGTAAGAGGGTAGAAGAGGCTGGAGGTAAGAGGGTAGAAGAGGCTGAAGGTAAGAGGGTAGAAGAGGCTGGAGGTAAGAGGGTAGAAGAGGCTGGAGGTAAGAGGGTAGAAGAGGCTGGAGGTAAGAGAGTGAGAGCAGCAGCAGACACACACACAAAGGCACTCACGGCACCTCCCTCATTACTCACGCTGTCCTACACAATGAATGGCTCCGTTAATGGCTTCTCGGAAATGGGTTTAAAACTCTCCCGTTGTCTTTGGAGGAGAGAAGCCTTGAACATGGTAACCCTGCTCCCATATTGTCATGGAGAGGGGAGATGTAAGGGCGGAGTATATACATAAACACAACTCCTGACGACGGCTCCTGACGAAGGGTTCCTGACCTGAGAACAACCCGGGGGAAGACCTTGACCTCTACCTATAACTACTTCCACTACTGCATTACCCTCTACCGTACACTCGAGCCGACCCAGCAGGTGTCAAGCCCGGCCTGTCTCCTCACCTGTCACTCACCCTAGTGTCTCCTCACCTCTCACTCACCCTAATCTCCTCACAATCATGTCTGAGTCGTAACCTCTCGACACTTGATCTGAGGGAAACTTCTATCACATATACTTCAGGTCAGGTTAGGTTAGGTTCAAGTCCTGCCACACACAACGCTCCATGTTTTACTGAAGCACAGCAATAAAGTAGAGAATGTGACCACAAACAGTCGCTACTTTACTTTACTTATAAACGACGAAACAGTAGTTGTAACATAAAGATTCAGGGGTTAAGTTAGTCGTCGTAAACAGACCGCCGTGCCTTGATCACACACAAGCAAACACTACACTTCACTTGTTTATGAGAATGTAGCGTATAAAGAGATGCACTTGAGGAAATGTTGAGTGTGTGTGTGTGTGTGTGTGTGTGTGTAAGACAACACCACCTGCCGCCTAGCTCCACCAACAAGCCCGCTGAGTGAAACATGATCTTGCAGCAGCCGTTTACCCGTGTCACAACATTGTACCACAGGTAAAAACCCAGGTATTTTAATCGCCATTCCTGACTGAGAGATACAAGGTGTGAGGTGGTGTTTGTTGGCGGGTCTCTTCTTAAATCTTGTTGGCAGGATAGTGAGAGACTGTTGCCCCCCACAGGAAATAGTTCGCACGAGTCTTGGCCGATCACCCCAACACCCCAACACCCACCCCCCCGTGGCTGCCTGTCTCACCTTCATTATATATTACCTGTTCTAGCTCTCAGGTGTCATCTGCCAAGTCGAGAAACACCTGCCTTCATGCCTAACGGGGGAAATATCTTAATAATATAATAATAATGATAATCTTTAACCAACAGACCCACATACTTCTGACACCAAATAGCTACATCAGAAACATTAAAACAATCTATGTGTGTGTGACTCGTTCTTACATCAAACGTGGTGATAATTTAAAATATACTCGGGTCACATGAAGATTAGGCACTCCAGTTTATTGCAAATGATGATTAAATAGCCTATCGTTACCTGGGGTGGGGTGGGGTGGGGTGGGGTGGGTGGAAAGGAGAGATGCGAGTCAACCGGGTGAGTCCCTTTTTTAATTTATTCTGGATGAGGAACAAAGACCTCCCTCCTTGCGCCCACACGGCCCCCAACACCCCTCACAACAGCGCCCACACTGCCCCCAACACTCCTCACAACAGACAACACACGCACACATTTCCGCCCTTCAAGTACCCGTAAAACACAACGGGAAAACTATCAACTAAATTCAAAACACTTAACCCAACCTAACTTAACCGACACAACGCTTCCCTCGGTGGGTGACGTCCTACCCTGGCAGCGGGGTGTGTGACGTCCTACCCTGGCAGCGGGGTATGTGACGTCCTACCCTGGCAGCGGGGTATGTGACGTCCTACCCTGGCAGCGGGGTGTGTGACGTCATACCCTGACAGCGGGGTGGGTGACGTCATACCCTGACAGCGGGATGTGACGTCATAGATGCAGTGAGCGGCTGGGTGTCGTTCAAGAAGCCATATTATCGTTTAGGAAGAGTTTTATATATATATATATATATATATATATATATATATATATATATATATATATATATATATATATATATATATATATATATATATAAATATATATATATAATTAATTCACTTAT